TCCAGAGTCGTACAGATCGTATGTGCATAGGCGGATGCTCAGGGCTGGCGAGAGGGCAATTTCATAAATAGCTCTTACGAAAAAGAACCGTCATGAGGGGTGGAGGATTGGTTTTACCAAGACTCCAACTGCCATAACCATGTGATAACCAACGATCAACGTACTGGAATAGGATCAGACCTACGATTCTGAGTTAGGCAATGCTGCGGTCAAAAGGCAGATCATGAGCGTCAGGACCATGCTTACTGCTAGAGCTGCTGCCGGATGTTTCGTAAGCATAGCTTGTGCGAGGCTTCTTGGGCGGCGGAGGACGGCGAAGGAGGCTTTCGACCAGGTACGAACGAGCAGGGCTCTAGTTGAGGCGTGAAAGTAGACAGAGCATGGTCGTGTCGTTATTGACACGTAAATTCGTTGCGACGAATCAAGGGGTAGGATCGCGGTGCGGCTGCCATGGAAACCACTATGACTGAGACATACAGCAAAACACTCGAGAAATCCACGTCACAGCTTCCTTAGCTGCATGATCGCACAACGTTGTTCTGCTGAAAAAGGAACCAAGCGTTTACGACGATTGCCATTAGCGGGCACCCCGCGCGGCTTAATCGCCCGAAGGCTCCTGGCGCCAGCGACACAAGCCTATGAGTCATTTCCTAGATTTATTACACGCCATACGCATCGCGAAGCTCGACGTCCCTCGAACAACTGTAATTTGTTTACTAATTTTTGAAGGATGACCACTGAATGTGATATTCTGCCAAATGGTTCGAGTATAAAATCACTTGTTGTGGCGGGATCCCAAGCGGAGACATCACAGCATTCAACTACAATCAGCTACATACCGCTGCCTAGGCGTTAATTGTCACCCGTTTACAAAGTTTGATCGAGATCAGTGTGATGGGTGTAATTTCATCGCCGGCAGCCAACATGAACGATATACAGGACGGTGACGGCAGCTGTAGCAAGAATAAGTCGCAAGCCCGGAGCCTGCCGACAAGCGCCGGTGCGAGCGCCTCATTAAGATGCCACCAAACAGGCGGCGCATCCCACTTTTACGACAGTCCTTCCATCGCGTTTGTCAGCAGTAGCATAGTCGGTATGGCTAATGCCTGGCAATAGATTCCTGTAAACATTATGCGTTCAACTCACTGCTGTATCCAGCTCGCTTGTCTTTGCGTGACATGTTTGGACTCCCGGGACTGCTGTCAAGGGGACGTCATTCGGTGCATGGTTCAGACCCGCTAGCCACCCTGGAGGCAAGACGGCTGAGGCTACCCACCCGCATTTTAGATGGCACCAGATGTCGGGCTTGGCGGGCCAATTACTGATGCTAGGTGACCGGATAGGGCTGTTTTACAGCGTCGAGAGAATCACCGATCGGTTCAGGAGGGTGGTAACTTTCTTTTTGGCCCGGAGCAGCATTTGCTTTGCCCGGTAAACGGTAAATCAGTCATGCCGCCAGCCACTGGAGCCGCAAATGCCGCGCAAGTCCCAATGCGATAGGCGAAACGCAAGTGCCGGCTCTTATGCAACGTTCCTCACTGGACGGTAGAAGTTCTAGGCGACAGAAGCCCAATGTCCCTTCTCTGATTGTTATGTTTCGTCGTCGATGCGGTCATGGCTATCAAGCTCGCCCTCCCCTAACGTCTACGGGCCCCATGAGCATACACATTACAGTGCTTTCACCTCACAAAGGTCGGTACATCTACACCTGCGCCGCAACATCAATCTTCCCGAATGCAATCGTCTAGGTGAGCTGCATCTTGTTTCCAAGCGAAGGACATTCATGGAACGTTGGCAGCTGTTACGTGGAGTATTTGTACATCTCCATGTATCCACGATGACATAATCTCTTCTTTGCTTCTTGTTCTTATTGGCTAATTCTCAAAGCCTTTGGGTTAGACCGGTTTGAGGGACAGTGCATTGTCTTGTTCCCTCGAGCGCTCTTCAATCACAGTGAGGGTGGTTTCCATCCAGTCCGTACATTGCATGCGCGCAACGCTATCGCAGAACCACGAGGCGCATGAATGGCCCCGCTCCACCTTACGGCCACAGTAAACGACCAGTAGCTGTCTTGGTAATGAGTAAAAGCTTCAAGCCGGACACTCGTTGCTCATTACACTGCCTTGGTGGATCTGACTGTGATATTGGAGAGTGTTAGGGATTTTGCATATGAGTGGGCCAACTTCTTACACTGTCACTGCGAGCAACCCGCAAGCAAGGATGGTGCTTGTAGTAGAGCAAGCTGAAGGTACTACCTACATAGAGCTAGAAGCCAGTTCATGTTCGGAAGGTAGACAAGGAATATCGCTCTCGTATGCAGCCAAGAAGTTGCTGGGATGGAGACTTTAGTGGAAGGCTGACCAGCAACATATGGTAAATGTACGGGGGCACGACAGCCAACTAGGTTGCATGGTCGAATAGGAGGAAAGACTACCCCTCTTATCATGCGGCTGGAGCGTGTTGCCAAGGGGCCACGTTAGAGGCTGTGGCGTCGGTAGCCCAACGTTGCGCTTCAAAAAGAAAGCAAGATTGGATCATCCGGAACGCAAACCCTGAAGTGAGAGAGGGCGGACGCACTTTTAGGATAGGTCTCACGGTGGTTTTGGCAGTCATCGACGAGTCAACAAATGTGGTGCAAGTTAGGTTTCCTGTTCTATGCAACCTCTACCTGCATACACGAATCCAGATAGCTGATCCCTGCAGTGCGGCGCTGGGTACCCTAACTCGTCCGAAATACCCAAGAGCTCTCACACCACTTTTCATGCTTTCCTTTCTGTCTATGACACTGCAAGCGACGAGCCAAAAAGAATCGCACATCGATACCATCGTCCCTGACTAGCGAAGGGAACGTTTTGGGGCACTAATAAGCATACATCCGTCGCTTTGAGGTTGCTTATTCCCCGATGCCGCAGCGCGCCATCGTTCAGGCAGGCTTGTAGATATGCTTCGGAGCAAACTGCAACCTCGACACCAACCGCCAAATATGACAATTTTGACATGTTTTTCCTTTTCAGCTTCGCTATGCTTTTAAGCCATGTGCATATTAACCACCAGTACTCCCCTCTCATTTCGCCCTTCACCTACATACAGCAACAATCGCAACATAGCACGAAGCATCGACATCCTGTTGCGGTACCATCACACCCACATTAATCTTTCTGAAGATTTGTTTTCCACTTAGCGCTATCGGTCTCTTACCTGCGATACCTGGCCTTGGCTAGACTTGGCCAATCATGGCTGAACATTGGGACTTCGCCAACAATTCGCCTGATACCGGTCAGTACGAGTACGTAGAGCCTTCTCTCGATGCAGGTCACGACGTCCAATTAGATCAGGCTATTGACCGTACCTTGGATGAGGTCTACGCTTCCCCAAAAACCAAGCAGCAAGACCAGGCCATATCCTTCATGCTGGAGGTCAATACCAGGGACGATCTCCTTCGGTTGACTGAGACCTTCACTGCTGCTGAAGATGCTGGATACAACCATTGTCTTTCGATCATCTCGGAGATTCCGGCCGAGAATCGCGCCGGGAGATTCGCGGCTATCGGTTAGTGTACACCCTTTCTCCACAAAATATTGCCATACTGATCTGACTAGAATCACTTTCGATGCATGCGACATCAGAACCACTCGCAGATCTTGAATGCCAACCTCAAACCGGAGGGGAGACTTATCATCAAGCCAGAAATCGCCGGTCTACTGCTTCAGGCAGTAGAGCACCAAAGCCAGTTCACCCCAAACGATACGGTTGTCCGGGACAGCAAGGCAGTTGTCCAGAGCACCGAAGGCGAGCTTGGAGATCACTTGTTACATTCTTAGAACATCTGCAGGATAACCATTTAGGAGAATTTGAAACGCCTGATGGTCTCATGTGCCCGCAGTGCGCGAAGCGTGACGACTCCACAAATCCCACGGCATACCCATCGGATGGACGAGAGCTCGCGAAGCACATTTGGACCGACCATATGACCTCCATGCCCGGCCGCAGTAGCTCCGGATCATCTCAGTGAAGCTGCAAGGTGCGGGCGAGATCGGAGAGCGTTCGTTACTTAGCATGGCCAGTTCGACCGTAATGAGCTCAACATTTCACGGGTCGTTGAGATCAACGCTCACTATATCTATACAGCATCGGGTGTTTGGTCTTCTCGCTTCCTCGGTTAGCCTTTCTCTTGTTCGAGTTTTCTTAGCGTTGCGTTTTTGTTCTTCCCAGGACCGTTTTACATACCATCGCGTTTGTATCATGGCATATCGCCTATCTCCTGTCCTCCGGGCTTTTGTACTTCCGTTTTTGTATCGGTCTTTAGTACTCCCTTGTATGAACATGTAATGCCACGTTCCCCCGCATCTCTTCATGAGCTTCGGTGCTCTTTCCCAAATGTATCATATCATCTTACCCCTTCCAACTGCTTTCCTAATAGAAATGCTTCCATTACACCTTGTAGACGACACGGTGCTGTACCCCGTACTTGCTCCGATCTCCCAACGAGATATTTGTTTGGATACAATATGCCGCTATCGACTGTGTTGAGACTTTTATACTAATTGGAGCGCGCGACCATTTGCAACGGACTTGCGCCAGCAGACGCGCAGCTTACTTCAGAATGAACCGGCCATCGTCACACTCACTAAGCGCGGTACCACCACACAACAAAGTCACCATGACTTCGTCTTTCCACATTCCTGAACCACAAAACTACTACATATACTTCCTCCCTCTACTCAACACCCCAACATCCCCATCCACCCTTCCAATCGCCAATCTCCCTATCCCGCCTTCCGCTTCAACCTCACCAAACCTCACACGCACATGCTTCAGATACCACGACCGATCCGCAGCGTCAATATACGTCCCCGTCGCCGGCAGCGCCGCATACGGATTATCCCTTACCGCCAAACTAGAAACATTCATGAGTACACCCGGCCCATACAAAAGCCAAGTTCTGATATAAAATGGGATCAAACTCGCTGTAATGAGGACAGCCGAGGACACAATGAGCGCAACGACCCAGCCGTGATGTGCTTGGAAGACTGCTACATTACTTCGTTTTGTGCCGGGGCTTGGCCACGTTCCTGCGAATAAGTAGGTTTCCCTGGACGGCTCGCCCTGATAGCTCTCGTCTTGGTAAGACCAGATCCTCTTATCATCGGGCAGAAGCGTGCTCTCGTTGAAACGGCGCACAAGCGAGTTTTTGCAGTACATGGTTGACCAATACGCATTCAGTGTTTGACTAAGACGCATTCAGTGTTTGACTAAGACGTATCGACAACTTCTCATAAGACAATCCTGGAGCGTTCGCGGGCGCTGTTGCCATGTAATTCTTTGGGGTGCCGAGCCAACTCCTCGAGTAGAGGTTTATCGCCGGTTCGTTTTTCTTGCTAGCATAATCGTCAGATCCGACGGGTTTGGACATGTTGGCCGACCACGAACTTCCAGACCCGATTCCAAGGAACCATCCCAGACGAGTGCGGTCGGTCGGTGGATGTTCGTGGCGGGAGCGTCTAACGCGAGAGGCAGAGCAGGTGGTGTATGTAGGGCAGGTAACTCTCACTTCGACATATACCGTCTTGGCCGTACAATTCAAAAAGGGAAATTCTCCTCTCTTAACGACGAAGGTAAAGGGATTGAGATCTTGAGGGGGTGGTTCGGCGGTTGCTGTGGTGTAGTTGTTCCAGAAAACATGTCCTATCCACGTTCTGATTGGACACGAATCGAGATTGCCCAAGGTACGGGTCGCACATCAGAGTGAAGTACATCACCTGCACTGTGGTAAAATAGTCGAAAAAGTCCGCCGAATCGATGCCGCCTATAGTAATACCAATGAAGGAAGAGTAAGAGTCCAAATCCAGAGTAAAGTTTGCCGTCTTGTATCAGCCTTCGTCTTCAGGAGTTGATGTACCCTCGTAGTATTCGACCCTAGGTACTTTAATGTGACCCCAAGCATCACGTGGATATCCCCTTGCTTCCGGCGTCATGATGCCAGCTACGTAGAGACCATCCGTTTGTGTCTTGGAGATGGGGACGTCGGGTGTCCAGACGTTAGAGTTAGGAACGACATGGAAAAATACCGCATCCTCGACAACGCTCGTTGGACCAACGCTTATCTATCGAAAGGAGGATCGACCGCCCACTGGAGATAGCAGCCAGATAGCGATCAAGCCAAGGCCTATGTGATCCATGAGCCGCATTTGGACTTGTGAGACGACAGCGCTTGTGAGCGATGTACTGCCGGCAAGTAAATCCAAAGTACCAACCTTTTTGCCTCTTCCAAGTCTCCAAAATAGGATCGCATGGGTAGCTCGTCCGACGATGGGTGCAAATAAGATAGGGTAGATCGTAGGGCCCTGTATCAGTGAGCAAGTAAACGATGTAGCCTGATCAGTAGTGTGCTCACCCAATTCGAAGCTTGTTCAAATCTCTCAGCTGCTTGTCGATACGAACTTACTGGCTTGCCGTTGCATCCGAGGACAAATAGGGCAAAGGTCAGGAATGCACATGAAAGTGATAGTAAAGCAACGTCGACGAAAACATTCCATATCCGTGTGCTCATGGGAAGCTTGATCGCCTGCGGTGAGGTTGGCCAACCTTGAGGTATCATTCCAGATGGCTTTTCCAGCACAGTCTTGTTCGGTAGCCCACAGTCTAGCACAGGATTTTGGACGGTTCCATGTGCACTATCTGCACCTTCCCCTGAATTCGAGACGAGTCGCTCGCCGTGACGAAGGGGTTCTAGAAGTGGTGCATCATTGGTGAGCTACGACTCTGACGGAATTCGTTCCTCGCTGTAGGTGGAATGGACTCCTATCTTGGAGGCAGCATTCATGTCATACGAAACGAGATCGTGTGGCGCAAAAACTTTGCGGCACTGTTCTTACAATATAACTTCGAAAGGACGCGCCTCTTATGGAGTCATGGCTGAGCCTAGATACGTAACTCTTGGCGATGAATCAGATACTCAAAATGAACATTTCAAATCTCACTGTGTACTGTTGCCGGTACAGCTTCCGTCCAATGAAGTGGCAAGTCATCGAGTGCTGCTTCGGGAGCCACAGCGGCTACAGGAGGGTGGGTGGATTTGGCGAAACCACAAGGAGTCTTCGCACCGATCCGGTGGCAAACCCCACCAATGACAAGTGCCCGCCCCCACACAAACACGATGTTCCTCATGCACAAGGCTGGCAGCCCTGCAGGTCGTGCAAGCGCTGGCAAGCCATGCATGTTCGTCAAGCATTGCCGAGGTATCGCGAATATAGTATCGTTGAGCTGTGCCGAGTATCACGCATGATGAGCCATGACGTCACTAAAGCACTCAACCAATGACCGTTGGTCTACAAGCCTCAGGCCTACAGCAAACCCAGATGTACATCTTCCTAATCGTGGATGGATGATGATGACGTCATAGTACATGAAATCTGTGCTGGACCTAAACGAACCTAAGTTCACGTTGACGCGTTACTGTGTCCGTGCGTGTGATGCGCGGATATGCTTGACGCGCGCTGGCAGATAAGATTGTATAGTTATATACGATAGCTATCGCGATAGCTGTTATTCTGACAATTTTTCTACAGGCCTAGTGATAGGTGAAGAGCATATAGAATCGTGCTCTTCTAAGTAGTAAAGAGGTTACGTTCAGAAATTATAGTGTATACTAGGATAAAGCCCTACAGTGTTCCAACGCTACACGGCCCTGGTCATAGGCAGGCAAGCCACTAGAGACCCTTCAGGCCACTGTCGGCTTGCAACAGCCACAATCACGTGCTATAGATATATATAATCCCTTCCGGATGCTTAATAGCTCTTCAAGGATTCGTCTCAGTACAAGCTCGTACCAACATCTTAGCGCCTGCCCAAATGCTCCTCACATACGCTCTTGAGCTGCTTGTACCGCCAACTACGATAATAAATAGCTAGATCTTCTACCGTGCATAATCATTTGTTTTGGCTAAAGTAGGTGATGTATTGCCTCCTAACACGAAGTAATTGCTTAAGCGCAAATCAATCGCACAGTAAGGCGAGGACACAATAAAGGTGCCTGTTTTTTTGTAAGGGGCAGGCCTACCAGGCCTTGCGTACAACTGCACACGCTAACCGCTCAGGCAAACGATGGCATAAGACAACAGAGCGTGTATTGTCTTGTGTAGTTGATACTCAAGGTCGCTGCCGCAACCTGCAACGTGAAGAGTACACCGAGGTACTGCCGAGGATTCTTACTCCGGGCCTAGCCCATCACAGTTTCTAAAGGAAGCAGCATCCTTAGCGCGGAAATGTAACCGCCATCTGTCCTAAACAGCACTAGCTCCGCCTTTCCCGCATACTGCCCCGGACGAATCAACAACGCAGTTCGCCCACTTTACGATGCAGTCAATTACATACTTAAGCTAGCTTCGGTCCCATAGATTTCCTCTCAGGATTCCGAGCCAGTGCGAAACGCATCGTCATGATGGCTGACCCTATAAGCCTTGCGTCCGGTGTGTTAGCACTAGTCATCTTTGCCCACAAATCATGCCTCGCGCTTCATACAGCAGTAAAGAGCTTTAAGACCCAACCTAAGCGTGTGCGCGATCTTATCGAAGAGCTAGAGGCGCTTATCAACGTTCTAGAATCATTGAGCGATACGATGAGGTTACATACAGACGTAGATCTTCCCGCGCTTGATCTACCTTTACGACGATGTAGCACCGCTTGCAACGAGTTTTTCCAAGAGCTCGAAAAGTGCTGCTCACGATCTGGAGGTGATCGACAAAGCTTCCGCGACTGGGCTAGGCTAAGATATATGGGGGACGACATCGACGATTTTAGAAATTCGCTAGCAGCATACAAGTCAACCATCAATATCGCGCTCACAGACATGCAGCTGTAAGCGTCTTGACTCTACGTCCGATATTACATGATAGATCTGACCGATCTCCCCCCTTTAGTCGAAAGTCTTCTGTTGCTCTGGAGCGTCTTGGAGATTACAAAGATCTTATCATGACTGCGACCAATGACCTCGAGGCGCGACTCGAGACAATTGATGAAAAACTCCAATCCTTAGTAGAGCGCAGTACGTCAAGTTCTGCAACACCAGAGCTTCAAAGCATGAGAGAAGAGCGCTCCAGCACGCAAAAATGCCTTCTTATCTGCACTCGGTTTTCCAAGCTTATCGATGAACTCCAGTCCACAACAGCAGCAGATCTTCCTCAGGGCTCAGACAAAATGTCAGAGAAGATTACAAGTGATGGTATACAAGAATGCAAAATAAGCATGGAAAAGACTGCTGCGAGGTTAGAGGTGCACATGCAGGACGTTTTAGATCGCATGGTGTTTACCTCAAGCGCAGCAATGACCCAGGAAGATACAAATTACCTTGCAAGGTTGCGCGAAGAATGGACAAGTGCTCGTAAATGCAGAGACATCTGTCTCCAAGCAGACCAGCACTTGAAAGAGAGTGTGAGCATCATCGACAACCACGCTACAGGCAACGAAGCCGTACAATTCTTAGTATCGAACAGTCAAAAGACAATACATGGGAAGAATCGTGGATACGGGGATCAGATCAAACAACTCGGTGGTCATCTCAGCGACCAATCAATTCAGAAGGTCTCTGGCGATTTTTTGCAAATGAGTTTACAAAAATCAGGATACCGACATCTAGAAAACGCAGTGTCTAGAGCTGAGGATACAAATGAGAGGGGAACGAACTGGCGGTCGGAATATGGTGGAGGTAGGACACTTGAGTCCTAGACTATTGCAAGTAGCTTAAGTAAAGGGACTAGTTCAGATAAAGCTAGGATCTGATGCTTGGTAGTGTGAGGGCGTAACTGTAAGCAATAGTACTTGCTTCACGTTACAAAAGATAGTGAGAGATAGCTTGTATATTGATACTACAGACGTAGGGAGTAAGGACAATAATTCTTGTTCTTTTCCTCTTAAGTAAGGCGCATCTTATAAGCGGATTCAGCGGCTCTTGCTCTTTTTAGAAAAAGCATGCGTCTCGTGTCTAACTCTCTAGTTTCTTAGTCCTTGTTACAAGTAGTAACTTTGGAAGAGGACCTGTAGGCAAGGGCACTTGCTTCACATCAAAAAGGACAGTGTAGGGAGTATTTAGGCAGGCACTAAGATAATAGTTCAAGCTTATATCAAGACAAATCTCTAAAGAGGATAGTATATACTTACGGTACGTGATTATCGCTAGTGTAAGCTAACAGCAGCGTAAAGGGCCTCTAAAAGCTTGCCTACTAGTAACTAGGCCCTGCAGCTTAGAAAATCGCGATATATCACAGTTTATAGAACGTAGTTTTTAGTGATTAAATAATATATCTTGATCTACTAGAAATATCACCATGTTTGCCTACTGTCAAACAGTATGCTAATTAAAGATACTGGATACTCATTGCTCTGCAACATAACCATATTGCTGTGTATACCAGAGACCAATCGCTATCGAGTCACGATAGCGTTCGGTCTAACTTTATCCTCCAGATCGAGTCGGACGGGGCTAGAATGAGCCGGGGCCCTAACACCTGCTTACATTATATAGAGAGAAGAGCCACAAAGCGTTCTCAAATAACATAGAGCGCCTCCTATCGCTTACAGCATAGGCAGACCTACTTCCACGAACTAACGGCTCGCTGCAATCGCCATGAACGAGTACCGTTTTCTTCAAGGTTGCACATGGGCAACTGCCATGGCCACGCGATGAAACAAAGGCAACGTATTGGAGTGAGATCAGATCTGCGATCATGAGTTGGTCGATGCGGCGGTCAAGAGGAAGCTTAAGAGCGTCAGGACTATGCTGAGGGCGAGATCCATTGACGCATACGGTAAGGCTCGTCGCGCAAGGTACGCTGCTGTCAACGACCATCTCACGGAGGGATATTCCTCGATGGTGCTTGATGAGCGGGCTTACTCGGCTTGGAAAGGCTTTCACCACCAGGGTCTGCCTTACCTGTACGCAAGCTCGCACCGGGTGAGAGGGACCAACCTTCTATTTCCGCTGTCCTTCTCTACAGCTCGCAATGCTATACGCGCGTCTTTCAGGCACTGCGATTGATCTAATACGTTTCGTGCCATTGCTTTGGTATGCTCTCGCTGGATAAGTCAATTTAGAGTTCTGCAACATTTCGTAGGCTGTCTCCGTACTGTTGATGTCGTGGGTGCTAGATACTCCTGTCATGTCCGGGCTCGTATCCCAGTATTCCCGAGATATCTTCCCTCGTCTGACCACATCGTAACTTCGTTGCCATCACTTCTGAATACGTCTTTGCCGTTCATTGCTGCTCAGTACGTATTCTGCACCTGCCCGAATCGTGTCGTAGCGTTGTTGGTAGGGCGTTGTGAAGATTGTGCAAAGCCACTTGAATAAAGAATCGCTATTACTGTATCCATTTTCCCATCCCCACTCCGCTCAGAAAGCCGGAAAAGAAAAAAGGGGAGGAAGAAAGGAAAAGCCAACTCCACAAATCTCCCGTTATCGGATTTTCCCTACAATCTCACATCACCACAGCGCGCTTATCCTCTCGCGCACAAGTGACCCTGAGAACCTCCACCAAGACCTCACCCTAATCGTACACATCAACCCCACCATCATCATCTACCTCTTCCTCTTCTTCGCTTTCCCCTCATCCTCACTCTCACCACCACCCGCCTCTCTAGCCTCCTTATCCTTCCTCGCAGCCTTCTTATCCAACTCATCCCAGCTCTCCCCCTCACTAAACTCATCACTTCCAGACCCCTCATCACTCATCTCATCACTCGCATTCTCATCAAAGTCGCTCTCCTCACTACTCTCATCTGAAATCGCCAGCTCACTCTCACTAACCTCGAACGCACTCTCCTCTTCCTCGTCGCCATCCCCTTCGTCATCCGACTCGTTGGACAAAAAGGACCATCCACCATCTGCAAAGAATTGGTGCGGATCCGACGTCACCGTCTTCATGATGGTGGCCCAGTTGAGGTTCAGAGGACCCTCGGTAAATGGAATGTCGACAGAGTCGAGCCAGTCTTTGACTGGGTCGAGAGATTCGACGGGGATGGTGTTGATGTGGACAGGGGGCCGATTGTAATCTTTAAACACGACGACCATGTCAAAGTTTCTCAGACCGAATTGCACACGTTCCAAATGCACGATTTCAATTTCGCTGAGCGTGAGACAGGTGAAGGGCGGTTCGGTGAGTTGAACAAGACAGTCGGTCGTGGGCTGGACGAGCACGCTGGATCGACTAGGCACACCGTTGAAGCCCAACTCACGGTATGGGATATCAACACTGACGTTCTCGTTCCTCGCCGCATCGGCAATCTTCTCGGCAAAGTTTTTGAATTCCTTGTCGAGAGCGGCACGGCGCCTGCGTTCCTCTTGTTCTTGCTCAAACTCTTCTTCGTCGCCGAATTTGTGGCGGCGCTTACGGTTGCCCGTCTCGTCGAACTGCATCTCGGTTGCTTCCCGGACAAACTGAACGTCCTTGGTCTTCTTCTTACCGAGCATGATTGGGTTCTTGAGGTGCACGTGGATGATGACGATCAACTCGTGTTGTGAGGGCTGGAAGAAAAGATGCTTCATGTTGCTGAACAGAACATCGATCTTCGCAGTACCGTTGCCGTGGACGTAGCGCAGACCGTTCTGGTGGATCTCGACGCTACCAGGGATACGCTTGCCGTCGAGCGCTGGGCGGATGAAGATGAGGTCCAGCATGTGCGGCTTGCGGGTCTTGAGTGGGATGAGCTTGTCTTGCTCAACAACGTCCTCCATCTGCTTCTTCTCGGTCTCACGTCGTACGACGTCCTTCTTCAGCTCTGTAATGTCCTTGGTGATCTGGTCGATGCGATCAACGTCGTGTGACTTGAAGGTCAAACTACGGATAAAGTGCGCATTGGGGTCCTCAAAGGGCTGGTCGTCTTTTCGGCCCACACCTTGACCTGGGGACAAAAAATTGATGCGGAGTGATGTGAAGTCTGCTTCGGGCGTGTGCGAAGCGTTCTTGATGGTGTGGATGTGGAAGGGTACAGGTCGACCCATGATGGGCAGAAGAACGGTAAGGTTCTTCTTGTCGACTACAATCTCCAAGTTGGCGACTGCGTTGGGGAACTGGTTGTCGCGCTTGTACGACTCAAACTTCTTGAACTTCTTCTCTTCAGTGCCGTTGAGAGACTTTGCGCCTTCGCTGTACTCGGCCAGACCCTGCTCCTGCTTCTTGGCGTGCAGCTCTCTCTGATGTTGTCGCCGTTGCTCCTCCTTCTCCGCATCTTGGTTCGTTGTTCGCTCGTGTCGGGTACGGGTCTTGGTGATGTTTGTCTGTGCAATAGCGGGGCGCTCCTTCTTCACCTTGGGCTTTGCTTCCTCCTCTTCGTCGTCGAAGAAGAACGAGACGGCGTCCAAATCAGAAGTGGTGTCCTTGGTAAAGACTGCGCAGTCAGCCGAGCTAACACGAACAGTGTCTACCAAGACCAGCGAATAGTTCTTGCTCTTCTTGTCTTGGGGTTTGCTGTTCTCCAGATCCGACAGACCAGTCTGAACGACCAGAGTCATGCCGTCCTTTAGAACACGAGTGTTCTTGCCGCTCAAGAGGAGCGAAGAGTCCTTGTTCTCGGTACCGATACCGTAACCAAGGTTCTTGGGGAAGTGCTTCTCCCACTCTGGCTTCTTGGATTTGAGATGTGCCAGGGCCTTGTTGTAGACGTCCTTGGCCACAACACCGTCCTTGATAGATTTGATGACCAAGTCGTGGATCGCCAGAAGCAGCTTGTAGGCAGTCTCCTGTTCCTTGTTGGGCCCTACCATGAATGTTCGGCCGATCATGGCACCGTAAGTCTGGTAGCGCAGGCCGAGGACCGAGATGATGACGCCCGCGTGCAGGTTGTTCTCGTCGGGCTCCGCAGCGAACTTGAGGTCGTAGGAGCCACCGCTCTGGATTGTAGGCTGGAGACACCAGTCGAGCTGCATCGAGTCGAATGTCTTGGACAGCTTCTGTTTCTCGAAGAACTTGGCGTCGTCGATCTTGTTGGAGACCTTGTCGGCGAGGGCGCGGTGTGAAATCTTCTTCTCCGAGTCGAGGATGTCGGACATTTCTTCGACGAAGTAGTTGGACATGAGGGCGCTCGAGGCGCGGGCAGCGTCGCGGATGGTTCGCTGCAGGGTCAGCCAAGCACTATTCTGGTCCGTCGCTCAACTTACCAGCTCCTTCTCGTCCTTGACAGACAAGGCGGCGTTGGACATGATGGAGGCCAGATCGACCTGGTCCTCGTCCTTGAAGCCAGCCTCGTCGAATGCCGCCTTCCACTCGTTTGCGAAAGCGTTGTTGGCATTGTCCTTCTTGAGCACCGCAACCTTCTTGCCGGCCTTTTTCATCGTCTCGAGACATGTCTGGAACTGCTTCTTGTTCTCCTCGGCGTCCTTGCCCCGCACGAGAATCTCAACAGGCACCTTGCCACCCTTGAGCGGCTCCAGGTAGGAGGCTGCATCGCCGTTAGCACCCATACGCCATGTTCAGCCCCGGACAAGCATGTCGGACTCACCCTTCTTCTTGGTTGTGACAATCTGGAGAAGGTCGGGGGTAAGAACGAAAAGCGTAGCAGGGAACTCGTAGCCTAGCAGCCATAGCTATGTCGTCTTGTCAGCTCACTGTCTATCATCGCATGCGGATCTGCGCAATCTCACCTGGAACGCCGCTGGCTTCAGGTAGATGCCTGGCTCGCTCGCCTTGCCCACGAGCGTCGCGATTGAGCTTGCGCCCTGGAAAACCTGGTCGCCGGAGCGCTTGTCGGCCTTCCACTTGGTGACGAGGTTGTTGAGGCGCTCGTGGAAGAGCGCCTTGTCGATGACGATATCGTTGTCCGCCATGTTTGGAGGTGCGCGTAAGAGAACCTCCAGACAAGTCGACTGGGCTGGGAGGGGGGAGGTGGAAGAGAGAAGGCGACGATGGGAAAGTCGCGAAAGGATGATGCGACGCGAGGTACGCGCTCGCGGGCCGTGCGCTCTTTAACTCCACATCGGTGCTAGTGTCTACAATTACCTTGCCTAGGTAACACTTTGGGATAGCATCTTGACGTACATCTGAGAATCGTATACACAGCTGTTTAGGCCCTTTTCCTCTTTTGTGCGGCTGTCTTATTTGCTTTTGTCCACCCGGAGCTTGGTCAAAGTCACTCCCACTCACCCTGTGACCATCCCACGCGGCTGCCTTTGCCAACTTCAACCCTCCGACCCTCCAACACCCCGCCCATGCGCCTGCAGCTCTCACCCACCTCCCATGCTATGCAATGACGGCCGGCTCCAGTCTCCGCGCTGGAGTCTCTCTCCGAAGCGATGCCTCCAATGACACCTCTCCCCCCGAAGCCCCGCAAGCGCCCAACAAGGCACCAGCGACAGGTGTCCAGGCCGCCGGTATGCGCGCCGTGGCAGCCAGAATGGTCGCCTTTTACTTCCGAGCACCAGTCAAGGCCTTCTTCCGTGGGAGGATAGATTACATGGGCTACGCGAGGGCCATCAATCCACACGTCATGGCGGATGCGAAGTGGTCGTGGAGAATGACTACGCCCGCCGTGCTGGCGCATGCCATACGGACTGAGGGATGGGGCTTCATACCGAAGCAGGTGCTGCCACCTCTAATGGCAAACACATGGTATGTATGACGAGTTCCCAGCCCACGCATATGCTCACAGCGCGCAGTATTGGCGCAGTCCTATATACAGCATACCTCCATAGTCTCTCCGCACTTCACGAACCCTCGTCCTACCAAACCAAGCGCGTTTACCCCCCGCCACCCCCCTCTGTGACTTTCACAGCCGGCTTCATAGGCGGGAGTATCCAATCCGTCATCGCCGCCCCCTTTGACGCCCTGCAAACCCGTTTCCGCACGGCCGACATCCTCGACGGCAAGCACAAGACCATGTGGCACTACGCAGGCCACAAGCTGCGCTCCATCGGCATCCAAGGCATCTTCGCCGGCTGGTCTCTATCCTTTACCAAAGACGCATTCGGCGCCGCCGTCTTCTTCGGCACCTTTGAGACTGTCAAGAGCCAGGCGTACCTCGAGTTCGTGTCGCGGTACTACGGTAGCCGGACGCGCGATACGCTGCTCGAGAAATCTATACCGTATTTGCAGGAAGACCACGATGACCGGCCCGTCATCAGACCTCACTATATGCTCGAACCCATGTTTCTCCTCTTGGCTGGCGTCTCTGCGTCAATCACGTCTCAGCTCATCCAACACCCTCTTACCGAGATTCAAGACGTGCACTACCGCCGGCTAGAAGCATTGGATTTCCAGGCCCACCAGGACAACAAGCCTAGTCACATTGTACGACGGTACTACCACGCTTACGAGGAGACGTTTGCCCAGTGCAAGATACTAGCCAAGCGAGCTGGTGGCTGGAGAAGATACTTGTACAGGGATTTCTTCATGAGTACGATTAAACAGGTGCCGAGTACGGCGGCCGGCCTCATTGTGTTTGAGATTGTGAGGAGAAAGTACTCGTTTGAGAATGAGGAGGTTATGATTCTGCATGAAGATGCGAGGATCTTGCTGACGTAATAACACTATCCTAAAGCGCAAAGTCTGATGAGGTGTGTGTGTGTGTGCGTGTGTGTGGAGGTGGCAGAAATGCTTGGCGAAAAAAAAAACTTGCCCCAAAGTCAACCATCACCTCAACGATCACGACGGCATGGTCGACAGAAGAACAAAAAGAAGAAGCCCGACGTGGGGGTCGAACCCACAACCTTGAGATAACCAATCGTGTCTTGTTAGGACGTGAAAGCTAAGAGTCTCACGCTCTACCGATTGAGCTAGCCGGGCGATGCTGTTGATTGATGGAGCACTGAAGAAATACAGAGAAGAAATATTGAGGTTTATCCTCGTTCAACGCGTCGAGCGTTAATTTTTGCATATGATACCCGGATATAGACTGCCAAGACTTATAGACTATTCATTTTTTTGTACCCTGTACCCGGAACGTTGTGTGTGTATATATGTATATAAGCAAATCGCACTACACTCGTACAATCTGTACCAAAGCATGCTCAATCAAGTGCGCACATTCAACAATCAAACTTTCCACGTCTAGATCTTCATGCCCTCCCTCTGCCTTCCCACTTTCCTCCCTCCCCTTTTACTGCCTCTCCGCCTCCTCCATCTTCTCTTTCAATCTCGCGCCCACGCCCCACATTTCAAGACCTAGGATCCACCAGACAAAGCTCCGGCCCACATGCCATGACCCGTGGAGGAACTGGTATTGGCGAATCCTAACAACATGGCTTTGTTAGTTCGAGTTCCTCACCTCACATGACGGGGAAAGGAAGGAAAAGGAGAAAGAAAAAAGTCTCTTACAAACTCACACGAAACAGAAGAATATAGATCCGATGATGAGCCAGCAGAAGGCGCCGAGGAAACGGGTTTGCGAGGAGGATGAGGAGAGGATGCCAAATGCGGTAACTGTTGTTGCGTGGGATGATGCAGAAGAGGGGGAAGTGTGATTATTCTCGTCCCCGTTCCCAGACGATACAACACTGCGCCAACAGCCCAGTCCAACAGTCACACCAAGCCTCGTCGTAAGACCATTTCCCGCCGTCGACGTCGACGTGCTTATTTGCGGACAATCTGGGTCCCACATGATCGGTGAGTTTAGCTGTGGTGCTACACGTTTGTGGATTTAGAATCAGTAACAATATCTCGCGGACATTGGGGTGCTGCAGATGCTTACCTGTTCCTGTTGGTGCGGGAGGGGGTGTGGGGAACGGTGCTGTTGCCTGGGGGATGGCGGAGGGGAAGATGAAGGATATGTCTGACGCTAGGGACGGGATGTGAGATGTTGTGTTTGGGGAGTCGGATTTGGCTTTTGTTGTGGGGGGTGTGAATGGGTCTGCGTTGGATGTAGTGGATGGGTTGGTGGGCTTGAGCTTCTTGGAGGAAGTTGTCGAAGTGTTTTCAGTGGGCTGCTCGGCATCATCGTCGGCTGGAGCGTCGTCGTCGTCGTCGTCCTTGGTCGAAGTGTCTTGGTCCGCGTCATCAGTCGGTGTGGCTTCCTCGTCTTCTGTGGGTTTCTTCTTCGTGGATGTAGGTTCTTCGTTGGCGTCTGCAGATACGTTCGTCGTCGGTGCGGCATCTCCCTCATCCGTAGACGTAGGCTCCTCATCTCCACTCCTGTCTTCGTTCACAACCTCATCAGGCTCAGTCTCTTCGCCAACCACCGTCTCCTCTTCCAGCTCAGCGTCTCCTCCCTTTTCACTACTTCCGTCTTCCACAAGACCATCTCCATCCTCGCCACCACCGCCCTGCTGTTTAACCGCCAGCTTCGTAGCAATAACCACATCCTCCGCTCCATTTACTTCTGTGCTAACCCTGGTAGATTTCCCAACCCCTCCATCCCCCTCATCATCAACAGCGATATCAAAAAACCCCTTCTTTTCCTGCCCAGCATCCTCGTCCAACCCCCTCCTCCTCCCCCTCCTTCCATCAAACCCACCCGTCAACCACTCCCGCCCACCTCGACGCCACCCCACAAACCGCGATCGGTACCGCCTCACCCCCGCGTTCCTCGACGCCGTCGTAGAGGCCATATCAGAGTTATACAGCCGACGAGTCGAAACAGTACCAGTAGTCCCCATCCAGCTATAATCAGACGTATACTGCATACTCCCATCCCGCATCGATCCAGCTGCACGTCTAGCTCCACCAGCCTGCTTCGCCGCTATGGACGCAACACCCCGTCTCCCTAGCCTCGCAGCTCCGTTCACAGAGGTAGTGGTCGTGATGGGATCTTGCTCCTTACTATCTGCTGTCGTTGCGGTGTCCTCGGCAGTCTTGATGTATTCGCTGATGTAGGGGTACCATGTGTTCATGCTTGATATGGTGAAGACGTCTTGTTTGCTGCTAGTCTGTGGTGTGCTGGTAGGAAGGGCGAGGGGTGTGGCTTTGGGCGATGGGGAGAGTTCTGGATCTGCTGAGGTATCTTTGGGCTCCTTAGCCGAGGAGGTTTTGGATTTGGTTTTGGGGGGATGAGAGGTGCTCGTGTCTGGGTCAGAGATATCAGTGATCGTATTTCCTGTTCTCGTGGGAGTGAGTAGTGATGAGGGTGTTTTCAGTGTTTCTTCGTCGGGTTCGCTTGCGTAGGACTTTGTCCTGGACTTGCTGAGTACTTCGGTTCCTGATGCTGGGGTGATGGATTCAGTGTGTGAAGATGTCGCTGAAGTAGATGATCTTTTTTTCGACTTGGATTCCTCTGAGCTATCGCTAGTCTCGTCGTTGTGTGAGCTTCGAGTCTTTGTTGTGGAGGACGTGTCAGAGTCAGTCTCTGAAACTGATGCCGGGGAAGACGTATGTTTAGACGAAGCTGATGTGCTCCCCAATGTTTTCTCAGTAGTCGAAATTTTTCTCGTTTTTTGCTTTGTCGACGAGGCTGTTGTTGTTGAACCCGCAGTTCCTTTGCAATCTTTCGAGTCATCTATATCCTCTTCATTCCTAAACTCGAGGCAGAAACTAGCAGCTGCCTCTCCATGAACCGGTATAGCGATCGTTTTCGTAGCATCTAGAACAGCAACGTGGAGTTCGCGTGTCTTTGGAGTTTCATCAGGGTCTTGCTCTACTCCGTATTCGCAGAATTCAGATGCTGTGGTGTTGGACATGTACACTGAGATATAGCCTTCAGACACAAGGTCAAATCTGAGATTATAGAGGTTGTTGCTTCGCTTATCGACGGTGTGAAATTCGTAATCCAGGGTATGATGGTGCTTGGTGGCATCGTTAGGAGATGCGGGTCGGTCTTTGCGCGTATCGGAGATGACAGATTCGCCCGTCACAGATACTTGGGAGACCCTGGGCTTCTCTCCGCTTAGCGTTTCCAGCGTTGGGTATTCTGTTGATATAGATGAGGCTAAGCGATAATGCTCACGCTTAGAGACCCGCTCGATGAAAAAACTGGTGGATTCGTTGGAGACCGCCCTTTTGCTCCTACCAATATCGCTATCGTAGCTCGTGTGCAGTCTTCTTACTTCTGTATGATAGAATGTCTTTGTTATTGTCGGTGTCGTATGACCCTTGTCCTCGACAGCAGCTGCCAGAGCTAGGTCAAAGGCAAGAGCACATGTGCTCGATGACAAGGTCAGTATGTTCGGAAGAAGCTTCATGTTGATGCAGCGATATGGTGGTTCACAGAAAAGACAACCGACTATGAAGGAACAATGACATGAGTATTCCAACTGTAGTGACGATACATACTCATTGACCGAGTGAATCCCGGTGACATGTAGCTACCTGGAAGCATGGGATCATGGAATCTGTGAGATTAGCTGTGAAGATAGGGCGTACTTTCGAGTTCCTTGACGATGATGCCGTCCGCTTCCCATTCTCGCGCGCGCACATCGCATCTCGCCCGGTTGGTCAATATCATGATTCTTCACAAAGATTGTGGTATGATTTGCTGGAGCCGCCAGAATGCAGAAAATTATTCACAATCTCTAAAACGGTACTTGATCTCGTGTTTATTGTCGTGGCGGACTCTGTGTGTTTCGTGGCAGGGAAAGATGATGGGGTTGGCAGAACTAGAGGAAAGTCAGAAACCAAGTATACTTGTTCAGATAATCGATTGGATCATTCAAACGCCAGCATCAGATCCCCCGGCTCCTTCTATACTGTTTTCATACTTTCAGCTCAAGCTTCTACCTACCAAGCCATCACCTTGCGCATCTGCTTCGCAGCTCAGCAAATCGCTCCTCTGTGATAGCGTCTTCCCGCGCCTAATTCGCGAGCTCTTGCACCCATGTCTTCATGCCATCCTCGCAACTATTGCAGGCCGCGCCTCTGCAGCCCTAGGTTACATCTCAGCTCTCGCTTACACCCTGGAAAGTGTTACACTGAGCGTCATTACTAACCAGATTACCGCGCACAGAGTTCCTACAGCAGTTAGCGAAGGAGTTGGAAAACCCAGCAGTCGACCACGCAGTAGAGTAATAGGTAAACATGCCCCCAGAATCGACATCGCCGGCAACGCGCGTTCCGTCGGAGAGAGTGATTCGGCTTGTGCACTGTGTTCCTTCTGCGTTGTACCTCTGAAAAGTTATTCTCGCTCTCCTTGGACCAGTGGAGTGAGGCTTCCTGGAGAATATGTCTTTCACGATGCTGGAACTACAGACGGAGCTACTCTATACAGAACATATATTCTCAAGGCTCAGGAAGTAAAGGCTGAGTCTCCGCGGCAGTATTGTCCCTATCGATTCGTCGGGCTGAGTCGTCTTTGTCAGTACCCAAGCGCCTGATACTGTTGAACACACGTGGAGACAATAGCGCAAGGCTGCCGAGAGGAATGGCCAGCCCGTGTACGACCTGAAGTCTTGATTAATTCATCGGTATCATTATGCCGAAGGTTTCACTTACGACGCTAGAAATCACGAGAAACCATACTATGACCGCGGTCACTTGAGCCAACGCGATACAGTCCTCCCGCTCTGGATGTTCGAGTTGGATGCGGAGCAAAAAGTCCTGCGTGACATACAGATAGAAAATAGCGCTTATGCCGATTGGGCCAAAAAAGCCCATGATAGTCGCGTGGCGGATGTTGCGGATTTGAGGAATCTGTTTTTGGAGAGCGATTATGACTGGCAGGCGACGAAGGAGAAGAACCAGAATACCGAGCAGAATGAGTCGAGAGCTTGGAATGACGTCCCCAGAAAAGAACTTTTCCCAAGGACACACGGCGCCAAGCCACATGAACACAGCCACGTTGAGGAGGAAGTCCATAATAGGCTGAAGGGAATCATGCTCTGTCTGCTCGCGGAACCAATCACTAGAATCATGTCAGCCAAGAGCTGTAAATTGGATATGAGGATGAGAAAAGTTCTTACTCCCAGGTGAAGGTGTTTCCCGCGACGAAGCAGGCCAATACATCGTCCGCATCGATGAGTCCGACAGTACCTATGATCAAGAGCTGTAGAGAGATCAGCAACCGAGTGGTAGCTCTCCATCATGTAGAAATATTGGCTTACAGCTAGGGCTATGGCAAATAAGTGGAGGCTTTCTTTATCGACGAGGCGTCTTCTGTCTGCCCAGAACAGCAGATGTTTCGCGGCCCAGCCTGCGACAGCGCCATAAACGACGCTTAGCAAGATCGTGTATAAGCAAGTCACGCTCAAAAAGGAGGTCACTGCCGTTCTTGTTCCACCTTCCTGACCAGCGAATTTGACCAGATATAGCGGAAGGAAGAGGAAAAGGTAGCCAAGACCGTCATTGGCGCCTGATTCTGCAATGATTATCTTTTGAAGTGGTCTCGACATGTGCTTGTCAGCAAACGTTCCCTTCACAATCGAATTTGAAAGGACAGGATCAGTTGGCGTCACGCAAGCACCAACGATAAGGCTCTGCACCAGACCGAGGTCTGGCACGAGTTGCCATACCAGAAAGCTGGTAATGACCCACATGCCCAACATTCCAGGACCGAGCAAGATGGCCAGGCTCCGCCATTCTGTTTTGAGATATCTGCTAGGCAGCTGTATTCCAGCTATAACAAGTTGTATTCCCAGCACGAGGCGCGTAAAGCAAAGGGTGACAGTAGCGAGCGCTTCTGGAGAGCTGGCGTATTCGTGTGGGCGGATGAGACGAACACCGTATGGCGATAGGAAAACTCCGGCGCAGAGAGACACAACTAGTCATATAAGTCAACGTGACAGGAAACTGAGTTCCTGAGGTGTAGGTGCACATACGTGGTTCTGTCACATAAAATCCCTCCTTCAGAAGATATGAAACCAGTCCGAAGAGAGCGATGAAGCCGCCGCCGACGCAGCAAACCAAGTTGAAGTTTAATATTGGATCAATGCTCTTATTGACCATGTTGTCGTAGAGGAGGGCTAGGCTGCCGACGTATATTACTTGTTGTCCTGCAGAGCTTCCGAGGCGTGATTCGTTTGCTTGAGCCGAGCAGAATCTTTGAACCACGCTGCATCAAAGTCGCGTCTATCTGAGTGAGGGGCTTGTCAAGGCGCGACGGAGGGGGTGTGCGAGTGTGGGCTTCACAAGCTTTTTTGACTGTGTTCATGCAACAATTGCGAGGACTGAGCTCACCATCTGGTACAAGGTTGTCCGCGTGCTTACCTAGCAGCAGCGTGAAGCAGCTGCTGTAAAGTGTCGAGAGGGAAGAACCGGGGACTACATATGCCGCTCGCCAACAGATGGACTGCATCCTCAGCGGCGTGGGTCATCGGCTGTTGGTAAGCCGACGCGTGATGAGAGCACGAGCCTCGGCCAGGTCATGCACTACGCTTATCGTGGTTATTAGTCTAGTCTGGGGGATTGGTAACGTGCCCGTGCTCCTATCAACGCTAACTAGCTGTCACGAGGTTAACCTCCCCTCGCTCGGAAGTTGAGTAGGTTTCAAGGACAGCGGGGGTTGGGGTAGCTCCTCGTTGACTGCGCGCGGACCGTATGTTTTTACTTAGTCAGCTAGCTCGGTGGATTCTGCAGCGGAACCCGAACATCGGCAGCCACCTACCTAGGTCCTTTTCAGCGCTTCACAAGACAGCTGCGCACACAACCACACAAAAGATGCGCCGCGATACGGGATGAGATATCTTGCGTACCTTTATGAAAAATCATCACCTCGATCAGTATGTTGCTATACGCTGATGCCACGCGCGTGATGGCTTCAGAATCGCAACGATAGACCCCTCAATTCAATCCGAAGCAAGTGCCGAGATGGCTACCTGCTGCGATACACGGTGATGCATGATATCTGACACCACTATGCTTCCTCGACTCTTCTCCTCGTCTCCTCGTCTCCTCGTCTTCTTTCCCATAGGATTCCATCATCCCGCGTCTCTACACGCACCATGGCTTCGCTACCCATCAAGCTCGCTGTCCTCGACGACTACCACAACATAGCAGCTTCGCACTTCACGCACATCGATCCCTCCAAAGTCGACGTCACCGTCTTCAACGACACCTTACCCTCCTACTCACACCCCGGAACTTCCGATGCCGCCCGCAAAGCCCTCGTCAACCGCCTCAAGCCTTTCTCCGCCTTGTCAACCATGCGCGAACGCACTCCCTTCCCAGGCGAACTGCTCCGTCAATTACCAAACCTCAAGGTCGTATTCGCTACGGGTGGCAAGTTTGAAAGCTGGGATCTGGATACGATGAAGGACATGGGTATTACAGTATGCGCAGCGCCCGGCAAAGGCAGAACGGATGGCAAAGGCAGCGGCACGTCTCCGAGATCTTTGCCCATCAAGCAGGGCGGTGGACACCCGACAACACAGCATGTTTGGGCGCTTATATTGGGCCTTGCGCGGAATATCGCTGCAGATGACGCCGTGGTCAAGGGGAAAGGTGGGCCAGCGGGGTGGCAGACTGAACTCGCCATGGGCTTGCAGGGAAAGACGCTAGGTTTGGTTGGTCGAGGCAGGATTGGCGCGCATGTTGCGAGAGTGGGTGTCCTTGCTTTTGGCATGAAAATCGTGTGTTGGAGCGCGAATTTGACGCAAGAGAAGGCTCATGAGTTGGCGGACGAGTGTGGGTTACCGGTGACGGGTGGAGGTATCGCCAGCGAGGAGGAGAAGACGTTTAGGGTAGTTACCAAAGAGCAGCTTTTCAGGTCCGCCGACGTGGTGAGCGTGCACTATGTTCTTAGCGAGCGCTCGAGGGGTATTGTTGGCGCACGGGAGCTGGAATGGATGAAACCGACTGGACTTTTGATCAATACTTCTCGTGGACCACTCGTGGAAGAGGCCGCGTTGCTGGAAACGCTCCGGCAAGGTCGCATACGTGGCGCTGCGCTCGATGTGTTTGATATCGAACCTCTTCCTGCTGATAGCCCGTGGCGGAGCGAGGACTGGGATGTCAAGTGCAAGAGCAGGGTGTTGCTGACGCCGCACATGGGATATGTTGAAGAAGGTACCTTGACGACGTGGTATGAAGAGACGGCAGAGAACTTGGAGAGATTGATCGAGGGCAAAGAACTATTGTACCGGATTATCTAATGCTGATGCAAACAGGCTGATGTCCAAGTCGTATCTAGGGTTTAGAATGGGCACGCGCATTTCATCTGTCGACTGACCCTCGTTCTCCACTTCGTGGTCTATCCCATCCTCTCATTTCTATTTGTTATACCCCTCATGTATCCCCTTGGTTGACGAGCCGGATCGAAAGATGTTGATTGAGGGCAGAGGATTATCGTGTCGAACCAGTCAATGCTTATAATATATCTGAATGGCTAGGCCGAATTTTGGTTTCAGATACCACCCATACTGTACAGGTGTTGGAGTGCATGAAGACACTATCACGAGGATTTCAAGGCATCTTCTTAGCACAGCTAAGGGAAGAAGGATGTACGGGTGTTGTACAGTTGTATTCTGGTAACTAAAAGAGTGTTACCGTGCCTCCATCGGCTGCTAATGTACAATATGCCGACTGCCGCCTATCCTTCTCAGTCACGGTATCTCCAAGACGAATCTTGTCCGTTTTGGGTATGACATGCGGCGTATACGATGTGTCTTTTGCTGGTACAATATCTATATAAGGTATGGATAACCATTCTGGTAGGACCGGAACAGGATGTCCCATCGGAGGGGATACGTGGATAACTGCACGTCCCGGCCTGTACGCGATGCCACGGCTACGACGCGGCTCGATCGTCACAAGTCCTTGTACCCATTGCGGCAGCCGGGGAACCCCCTCATCTGGGTCATAGAAGGCCGTGTACAAGAACGGGGTAGGAGCTGGTGCGGCCATGCCTGTGAATCCTGCCGCTTCTACCAGGTTTTCAATCTCGTCCCTAACACCCCAGTGCAGGCTCAGTTTTCGGTCCTGCTTATCATATCACGGCCCTGTACTCGTGTCATAGAGGAGGCGCTCAGCATGGTCTAAGGTGGGGGGCTAGCTGATCCTTCCATCGGGGAAAGTCCCAGGAATCGCGTATCTCTTCGAGTTCAGCGAGTGATATGAGTTTGCGCGTAGAACCAGGTGGTGGTGGATAAGGGATTCTCCGTTCGCGCGTACCGTAAGCCCATATCTCATATACCGGTTGACGTGGCTCAGAGCAGGTGGTGATTTGAGTTCGTGGTGTCATTGTGGTTTGTGCGCAAGCAGTATGGATTTTCGCTTCGTAGCCTTTCTTTCTATAGACTGGTACTGGATTTACGGTCTTGGTGAGTCATACGTTGGCAGGGGAAACACACTGTCCCGTGTTACTGAGATGACGCAAAGCAGACGAGTCGCACACGGATCACACTTTCATGGCCGACGAGCCACTCACGCATGACCATCGTTGGGATCGTCCAATAATTTTCAAAATGTATTGGCGAGGACATCGATGCGCGTCAACTATTTCTATACACAACGTCGCTGGATAACACTTTGATACTCCTTGATTTGATTCTAGCTGCTCCACTAATCGACACAAGTATATGCTTCGTATTGGTCAGTGTTCTGACCTTCAAGCACTGCATGCTGTGGGTATGGACAAAGTCTCCTTGTCCTGTTACTTCCATCTGAAGGCTCCGTAGCCAGAACGTACTCAGGAGCTATACCATCCTCTACCCATGGGATGAGTGCTTCAAGAGAGTGGTACTTTCCAGGGACCTGAGGATAACCAGCAGCGGGGCCGCAGTGACCGCCACCCGGGACCATGAACAAGCGCCAGAAGTCATTGAGTTGTGCCTCGCCATAGATCGCTTTCGCCTCGTTGTGCTGATCGATAGGCCATGTAGGCGCGTTAAAAGGGTCAGCCCAGCCTATCCACGTAAGTCAATGATTTCGTGCTTGTGTGAATCCGGTGGACGACAAACCTTGCGATGCAATAAGTTTTCCACCTCGAGCTCTAAACGCATCGAGTCTTGGAGATATTGCAGTAATTAAAGGACCTGCAACCTTGTCCACGATCTCGACGTCGTTCTCAAAGTCGAAAGTGGTGTAATCATAGCTCAAGTTCTTGAAGACAAGGTTCTGCAATATAGGTACTGCATACGCGGTGTAGAGGCTTTCTTCCTGCATAAGCCATTCGGATTCCGATCCCTTTGCAAACCCGGGGTATACATCCGGCCCGGGTCCAGCGTAGAACGCCTCAAAAGTGGCAAGCTGCGTCTCGTTCAGACATGTCGTCTTATTGTTCTCAACTTGGGGCTGCCCAGACCGACACAGTAGTGATGTAATTTCAAAGTCGCACTTGCTTGGGTCGTCGATCACTCCGTCTTCCACGCCATCAATGTTATCACACTTCTCCAGTGCTGCATTTCTTGCAAATGTGAGTAGGTCCTGGGCTAGAAATGCACCAGGCTTCTGTGCATGAAGGCCGTTCCACAGAAAAGAAAGGATGAGGTGGGTGTACCAGTTGCCGGCACATCCTGCAACAATACCATCGAAGAGATCGGGATGGTACTGGGCCAGTGCATACCCTTGAGCACCACCTGTGGAACAGCCTGAGAAGTAAGATTTCCGCGGCTGGTATCGGAAGAAAGTCGCTGTGATGGTTTTTGCTGGTGTGGTGAACATCGCGATCGAATCCCGGATCCACGCTGTGGTTTGGGCATATGAGTGAAGGAATGGGACATAGCCTCCTGGCTTGGTAGGGCCGTTCTCGGACACCAGATGTCCAGAGTCACACCTTGAGACCTATCAGTCAGCTCAACACGACAAGATACAGAGGGGGCAACAACAAACCCTCCAACAGCGAAACCAGAGTTGAGATTCGTGGCCATTGCCTGGTAATCTATCGTGCCTGCAAGCCCGCCATTGCCTTCATGGTGATGTCAGCGACCACGAGGCACAAGCACTGATCTGACTGATCCAACACGTACCGACAGACAAATAGCGACCGTTGTAATTTTCGTTTTCGGGTAGCCAGACTTCAAAATTTAGTGTGTTATTTGGACCGTATGGCATGAGTCCAACAACGCGGCAGAAGGTAGCTGTATTAATCTCCGTGATATTTTGAGCAGCCACAGCTTTGATGTCTGCAATTCCGCCAACGTTTACACGACTGGAGCTGACAACATAGTCCGCACTGTGTCGTAACGAAGTACAACTGTCATGGTCCACAGGGTTAGAAAGTGCTGCCGCAAATAACGCGGCATAGGTAAGCTGTGCGTAAGCAAAACGCAGCATGGCAGAGACTTCAGGATCGTAAGAAGGGATGAAGCGCTTGCTTGTGATAATATCCGAAGTATTTGTACCTTATGGCGCCTGACTCTCGGCCCGATCATAAATTCCGTAGAATGTCGACCCCGCAAACCACTTCGCATTGTGAGCCGTCCACAATGACCAGACCCATGCTCGGTGGGTTTTGCAAATTCATTGCAGTGAACTACTGACTCGTTGAGAGAGCTTTCGGTGATCGTCACCGACGCTTGTGCGTCGATCGGGCGGGCTGACTGACATGGAGAAAAGACAGTCGGCGACGGGCGACCGAGCCCGAGTAGGAGCTAGACTAGATTAGGTGCATGTCTGATGCTCGGCTGATAGCTTCCGGTACAACAGATACCCGACTTCTGCCTGCAGAATGCTTGTTGATTCTTATTCTAGACAGTCAAGGTGCCATAACTAAATCTTGCATATCATATTTGTATACTGCGACAACCATGTCCCGATAAGTGGCTCCATCTTAGCACTTTACATCGTTCTTCGAAAGCTCTTCTTCTTCTGCGTTGTAGGTCTACGGGCCACACTCTTCTTACCAGATTTCTGGGTACTCACCTCTCGAGGCAGCGGCTCACACATGCTCTCCAAAGCATCGAGCATTTCAGGCTTCAGCACCCACTCCCCCGATTCCTTGTCTTGCACATAAGGCTTTTGTAGAATCCATTCCCGCCACTTCCTCAGAACCTTGACTACGTGCGCCTGTCCCGCGTCAAACCACTCTTTGTGCATTGTTCCACAGCCTTCACATTGTCTTCTTTTCCTGTACTCCTTCAGCTCAGCGTGTACGAGCTGCTCTACGCGATGCGCATGTGGTATCTCGATCTGGCACTCCGTACTAGAGTGGTATATATGCTCGCGACCGCATTGTTGGTTCCAGCTCTCAAGCCGTTTAGTAAGATCTTTGGTGTAACCAATCTTGACCATGCCAAAATACTCCTTGTCCCAGAAAAGGTATACGAAACCCCGCTTCTGGGCTATCACCCCCAGCGGAGCAGTGGCTTTCTGGTAAACGGCATCGAAGACTGAGGTCTTCTTGGACTTTTCCGATTGATAGGGTATGAAGCTCGATGAGGATGAGGCTTGAATCGTAGCAGCCGGAGTGGGCGCTTCAAGCTTGAGCTTTGTGACCGGCTTCGGCTCTGTGGCCGATTCGGGCTGTCTAATTGGCTTGGGAATAGTCACAGTTGTGTAGAGCCAAGAGACATGGCCTATAGACGCATGCGAGTCGGAAATTGTATCAAGCCATTGCATGAGTATATGGTTCTGGTCTTTTCCGATTTCCACAAGGTGTGTGAACATCCTATCCAATTCCATCAGTTTCGACATAGCGTTGGGTTTCTTCTTGATCTCTGGTCGTTTTAATGCGGTATTGCGGTGCACACCGCACATGACTAGACTGACGAGCTGCTCAATAAGACCAAGCATATCAGGGTAAAGCTCTTGGCTCTTGGCTCTTGCCAACTTCTTGATAATGATGCGTGCCTTTTCGAGTACTTTGCCATGCTTCAAACGGAACTTGCATCGATCAGATGGGTCCTTTACCAAAGATCCGGAACAAATTTCTGAATCTTCGGCAAGTCTTGCATGAAGATCCAGAGGTATGATATGTTCTAATAGCGTTCGAAGTTCGACTTGTGACGGCGTGGGGTCAGGGTGCCGAGAGTCTTCAATGTGAGTTTTCCCCCCGTTGAATACGGCATGTGTGGCTGGTATTACTGGTGTTTTCTTGGCAGTCTTAGATCGCGTGCGGGTGCTAACAGCGTCATTGTCATCGAAATTAAACGAGGGATCGAAGTTGTATTTCACGCGAGCACCCGGGACGCTCTTCTCAGAGACTGTGACGAATATATCAGATGCTGTGCATCCAAATTCAAGAATGATGTATACGTACTTGCTTCAAGCTCAAACGTCAAACCTCGAAATAACTTTGGTTGGAAGAAAGGGTCGTCTGGTAGTGTTACATCCTTCTTTTCGACAAGAGGCTGCTTCGCCGCTGAAGCAATTGAAGAACCGAAAGAAGGTTTGGGAATCGGTGTGAAGAGCAATTTTTTGGAAGATCCAAAAGTTGTCGGCGGTGTTAAGGGCGTCAGGATGCTGCGTGAAGAGGCTTCATCCGACGGACCAGAGGGCGTCTTCGGCGAATCCCAAAGGAAATCGGCGCTCGCCAGAGACGATGCAGTAGAGACTGTCGACACCGGAGACAACCATGAGAGGTTTCTTGAGTCTAGCCAAGAGGACAGGTTATCATGTCCATCCTCTTTCGAGGTAGATTGTGATAAGAAACTACTGCATGGCTGGCGATCGGCGATTCTCTTACGAGGCGTTATGTATTTCCTCTGGAGTATCCGTTGAGCGTCATCTTGTATGCACGTCTCCTGAAAAATGGAAGTCATAATGATAGCTCTGGTAGAAAGCTTGTTGATGTGATGGTAATGATGAGAGAAAAGAGGAGATGGATGTATTGACGATGCTAGCACAAGCTATTTGCATAGCACTTTATACTATCGGCCCTACCAAGAAAAGTAGCTCAATTGAGACTGCGCCAGAACCCCAGAAATGCTGCCATATCTGCCTCAGACATTGCGATCGCATGATGCTGTGAGCGCAAAGGCTCTACGGTAGTCCAGTCGCGCAGCCACACTGCCACTATGGGCAGGTGATCTCGTCTCCAAAACATGTAGGAACAGACTAAGGCTAAGATGGATGCCTAACCTTGGGGTTTGAAGGTTTTGGATCGGTGGTGGCTGCATGACCCGTGCCGCAGAGCCGCAGGTGGCTGCCTTGCTCAGCCTACTTGAATCCCTGGACGTAGAGGCTCATCAGTGTCGATGCCCATGAATCGAATTGAACCACCAGCACGCCCCCTCGGTGTTCTGACACTTGATGGGAAAGAGTCCGAAATCTGTGGCTGTAATGACGGTACATGAATCTACCATGTGCCTGGAAGGTAGCGATCTGTGGTAGCTTGGGATTTTGGCCCCATACGGAAACAAAGCTTCGAAACCTTTGGCGTAGTACTCCGTCATGTAAACTGTAATTCTGGCAGCACGCACGCGCCACCTTAAGCGCGTCTTGTGTGAGATGCCTTCCTGTCATTTGCCGTTTTCTACTCAGAACGTGGGGTTTGAAACAGACGTCTTGATCTTGAAGCGGGCCGTGCTGGAATACGCGCCGCCGGCCATGGAAGCGTGGAGAGTGGGTCAGTCCGTCCCGCGCGGGTCAGCGGGTCAGCGGGCGCTGCTGCGCGTCGGCTCTATACCCCCGAAACGACGGTCACCACGCGTACAAACCCTTTCTTTTTGTATGAATCTTCTTGCGTTTGCGTTCAAATTCTGACAGATGCGACGACATGGATTTGAATGTGAGTGGGTCTTGTGTACTTGCCGCTAGTTCCGTGAAGCGAAGGAGAAGATATCTCGCTTAGATAGCTTAAGGTCAGAAGTCGCGTCTGCGAAGGCAGTAATCTGATCAGCGATAGGACAACGCGCCGACAAGACTGTTGAGAATCCTTATCAAATGGGCACCCTCTTTCCTTGATCATGCAGCGACGGCCAGTGCCCTGGACATCATTACAAAACCTTAGCTGACACACGAAGTTCATCTCTCCTGAGCTCTTTTGGCTGCATGGCCGTTCGTGCAGGAGATCCGTGTGCTGCTATGCGGCGCAGCAACGTTACTGCGGCAAGCCAACACTGCTCTCTACGGATCCTGACGCGAGAACGCCATAAAACTAGTAGTGGCTACGCGCTCTCGTTCTAAGCATATCGACTTATTTTCTTCCCTGATCCCGATTTCACAACCACTCAGGCAAAGTGCTTTTTCTGTTGCTCATGGCTCGTCGAGGTTCACTTGCTTCAAGTCTGACTGATCAAACGGCCGCTTCTGTACGCAGACGAAATGCAGGCAAGAGACTAAGTGAACCCTTTCGAACACCAGAGACATCATCAACTTCGAGCTCAAGGTCGCCCTCAACGCCAGGTTCTACGCTAGGAACCCCGATCTTGATAGACTCGGACGACGAGAAGGACAGTACACCTACTAAACAGAAAAAACCTAGCACTCGGTCTTCACAGGAAAACTCATCAACGAGCTCGACATTGGCACTACTGAAAATCCCAGTTCGTGCTAAGCATTTGACGAGTGTGAGCGCCAAGGAAGATGCCCAAGATATCAAAATCAGCGAAGAAATGACGAGCGACGCGCAAGACACCAGCAACTACCCACAGCTGATACACGCTAAACTGGGCAAAATCGTTTGTGAGACGCTCCTCAAATCTGAAGGGGAGGGTTTTCTATACGTCTTCCGAGATCCAAAGCATAAGGGTGCAGTGAAGATCGGATACACAAGAGATATCAATAGACGCACAAAAGAACATGGAAAATGCGACTTGGAGCTGATCTTCGTTCATATATCAGGGCGGGTCAAGGCAATGAAACGGGCAGAGCAGCTCATCAAAGCCGATTTGAGGCACTTGCGTAGGCCGTGGGACTGCCCTGCTTGCAAACGTACTCATGAAGAATGGTTCGAGATCGACGAAGAGACTGCCAAAGCAAGAGTCACTCTATGGGTTAATTGGATCAATAATTGCGACCCCTACGATTCGTATGGATATATCAAACCACTCTGGAGATACCTGATAGAGTATGGAAGAAATCCTCGGGAAGAATTGGACAGCAGGAACCACGAAGCTCGATGGAAGCATTGGAACTGGGTCTTGTCAGAGCCTCTTCCCAGCGACATGCCAGGATTCCAAAAACACCAGAGGAGATCCAGTGGCATGAGCAGGCGACCGATGCCGTCACATCCGCATGGAGGCCAGCAAATTGCTCCTACACATAATCAGATCATTACGCATGTTGACAGAACGTCGATTGAAGCGCTGCAGACGTTAGGCATAAACGAATTCCTCCATGCCGCAACACAAACAGCGACAAACAACAACATCAATTGGACGCTAAGCATAAATGTCCAGTGTGACGCTCATGGTAATCAAAGGAACCCTTCGATTGATGGGTCCTCGTGGGAATGATCCGGTAGTCCAAAGACTAGTATGCCTTTCGTTAGTGTTCACTGTCGCACTGTATTTTTATCGAGTTCTTAGTCCTTTACGTTATGAGTTCTATAGACCGGTTTCATTGAATTCTTTTGTACAGTAGACTTCTGCATTAGTCATCTGCGCGAATACCCACATCTTTGATCGCATTTGCTCGACTCCCTGCCCGAAGGACGCGTGACGTGAGAATGGAGTGGTGATAAATGCCTGTAGCTTAAAGTGCGGCTGTAATCATTCAGATATGGATGTCAGAGACGTTATCGGAATCCTTTCGCAGTTGAAGTGAACAAGATATGTTGAAGAATTAGTAAAAAGACGTCGTGATCTTGCCTTAGGCATGCTTGAGATACGCATGGTTGATGAATGTGGGGCAGTACGTCTGAATTACGAGAAAGCAGCAGGTAAAGTAGGATGAATTCTATGAGAGTCCATTGATAGTGGACAGCGGGGCTGCTGCCACGTAAGTAAGCGAAAACCGCCACGGATGGGCTGTCTATCGCCGAAACGCCAGCCGCTGCGCAATCTATCCACTGTATCCACTACGGCACGAGCAGTCTTTACGAACACCATTCATGCTTTGCCTCCAGACAAGCCATCTAGACTAGCCTGATCAGCGACTTTTCTGGTGCAGATGTCAAAGACCGGGTAGTCCAGGCAAGTCCAATCCTTCTCCAGCGTTCTTCTCCTTGAGCATCAGGAGCGGATACGACGAGGAGTAGATACGTCATGCATGGCAATGGCTGAAACATGCTTCTTTGACCTATCTGCAGCTTTCGCCTGAGGACTATCGCAGCGCATGATCTTGGGACGATGAATAACCCACCTGGCACATCCAGAACTCCTCTGCCGAGTTTCTCACAACCCGTACCATCGAGTAGGATACAGCTCCTAGAAGCGTGTGAGATCTGGAGAGATATCCGATAGAAATAAGCTCGAATTGTAAGTACACAGGGGATGTCGTCATCTGCTGCTTGATCGGTGCCTGTCAGTTGAATAAGCTCAAAGTCCGTCAACCATCTTCCGGTGATATTGCCTAACGCCTTGAATCGGACAGCAAGATCCGTAGAGATCCAAGACCAGGAGGGTTCCGAAACCAGCGTACTCCTAGCTTCAACGTTTTGGGGCTGGTAGTCTTGTTCAAGAGGGCAGAACCATAGGAGCTCATCTGCTAGGTTTTCTGTCCACATGCCTGCAACGTAGGTGTAGCCTGTGTTCCTTCGGTACATGGATGCCAACCCGGACAAAGCGGGCAGTTTGTCCGAACGGTAAGTCAGACGGCAGCGTGAGTATTCCGACACTATGATCTGCCAGTCGGACGGTATAGAGACTGGGAACGAGGGGTTATCTTCCAATGGCTTGACAAGTTGAATCCTTACTTGAGGGCATTCATAGCTCTCGTAGCGATACGGGGTTGGCTTGTGTGGGATGATGCGATGGTTCCCTTCCCTAGCTGTGTGCGCAAGACATTCCCAGAACGTTTCTCCATCGCTATAATACAAGAGCCTGGGCGATAGAAGTCGTTCTTGAAGTGCCCAAGCTCTTTGACAAAGCGGTGCAGTCCTGAAAACGTGTGCTCTTGTCTTTTCGAGACTGGGGGCGTTGTTGAGCGATGGCGTCTCTGCTGATGCTAGGTCATGTCGTTGGACCAGCATTCCATGACCACAGTCAGGAGAACTGAGAGCATACAGGGTCAGATACGATAGCCGGTATATGTCGCCCATGTTGGCCGCTTCTCTTGACCAATCATCTTTGCAATCCTGAAGTATACAAAGGCTATCTATCCAGAGGTATCGTATGCCCAACTTCCGAGTTATGGTTACCGCATCACGGTAAAGTTCAGGAAAAGATACCATAGATATACCGATGCACCTCTCTTTGAGTGTGGCAGTAGTTGTAGTGAGTGGCTGCTTGCCTCCCCAACAGTGGCTGAGTGTCATATATGGGGCATGATGACCATCCGAGGTAAACAGGTATGGCGTTTCTGCGCCGACGTCGATCACTCGGGATGGTAGCGGCGAGTGATTGCCTTGGTAACAACTATGTTGTTTATCGCACCTTCCCACCCACTCCTTCACCAAGCCGAAACTAGCTTCCGAAGATGGATCTAGAGCTATGTCGCGAGTATGTCGCCCATAGATATACGCGATGTAGCCTGCCGCGAAAAGTTAGTATCCAATAAATATAGAAGTTTACACAGCCGACATACTCTTGCCTCTGAGGTGGTCAAGAAAACCACTACTGGTTTCAGTTCGCTCAGCAAACCACAGCAAAAGATGGTGTGTGCGAAGATCATCAGGCCGGTGGTGTTTGGGCGGGTTCTCGAAGTCGGCTTGAGATTGCAGAAGCTGTTCGTTTACTGCATGACAGAGCCAACAGCCTTTCGAGCCAGATACTTTGAGTTGTGCTGCATTATCAAAGTGTCGCTTTCTGCAACCTGGGGGCGTGTATGTTAAGAGCCTGCATCGCCAGCACAATCGCAATCCGATGATCGGCCGGATGTACCCGTTTATCAAAGCTGTTTCGAAATCGGGCGAGAAGTATTTGTATAGACTGTGGACAACATATATGAAAGCTGATGAGAAGCATGCATGTGGAAAGAGTATAGCCCCTAATTGGATGGCCAAGAGGATTGACAAAGCGGTGCAGATGTGCTTGATGAGGCTCTGACTTTGTGCAAAGAGGCTCGCATCCATGGTCGCCGGATGCGACGGATAAGGTCGAAGGTAATACCGAAAGCAATGTTCTGCCGTCCTTGGCTTGCCCGGGTCCGCGGATTCATGATGATGTTGGTTGATCATCCAGCTGGCAAGGCAGCCGCCGCTAGATCGCGATGGGTTAAATCGTCCATGCCTTGTCTCACGCTAACAATTGTGGCTGTGCCTTACCGGAAAAGCCACTGAGCCTTGCCAGCGCGTGTCAGTTGAGCCGATTCCTCGTCGGTCAACAGAATTTTGTACTGAATGTCTACAGCAAGTCTTTATTCACGTTTCTGGTGATCCTTTTCAAACAACAGGATCTCCGGGTGAAGGCACCGTCATACTTTGCCGAAGCACGTCAATCGAGACGCACTCCACAAACAATAACATTCTTCCAAGATCCATGGCAGTCGTTCTCACTGACTTCGAACGGCATGTGCGCAGCCTCGGAGTACGATGGCGTCACTATCTGCACGCTCAACTGCTCTTGATCGTGGTTCTTGCTTCCATATTCTTCTTTATCCCCGGTAGGAAATATCTCTCGAGGCTCTTCAGCTGGCATCTCTTCGATTTATTGACACGGACCAGTCTCAGAGCAGTATGCACCTCTTCACAAGAGGAGCTGGGGTGGATGGAACGAGCGCGCAGACACGGAGAGATGCTACAAGCAGGAACGGACAGCAACTTTGCTAGCTTTCTGGCTTGGCGTGTTCGGTGTAGACCATTGGTACGCGCGTCACTGGGTTTTGGCTGTCTTCAAGACTATTACTCTTGGTGGCCTGGGTATCTGGGCTGTAGTTGATGTAAATCTTTGGATCGTTGGCGGATACTATGGAACTCCTGGGTGCCCCGGTGGTAGCAAGAAAGAATGGGCTTACTGAGGAAAACATCAGACCTATCGATGCCGAAGCCAAATCCCACACAATCTTCCTTAAGCATTCGTTTGGGGATTGTGCGTTACGAAGCTCAACTAGGTAGAAGTCAACTTCGTTCCCACTTGCCGATGAGTAAGCTCAAGTTGTTCAATGTCCACCCTACTTGAGCGCCTCGCACTGTTCGCAGGGCCTTTTTTCGATAGCGCTACGCCTCTCGATGATGAAATTCGTATGTCGCATAGCATTAGGCGTATCTAAGACTCGTACAATAGTTGAGGACGAAGACGGAATGGGACGTGTCGGCGGATGCGCTTGCGCAAAGTGGATCATGACGCGCTTCCCCAATTTGCGGCTCTGCTAATCCATGTCTCCCATTCGACCAGCCACGCCCTCTCTAACGAATGCCTGATGGAAAACGTTGTCGCTGCGTTTCCAGGGTGTTTCCTAATGCTACCCCTCACAAAGTTGATCGCTTCCGATCTTAACCCCCAGAAGTCACGAGACCAGTGTAGCCGCTCGGCGCTGACATGACGTATCATGCCATGCCACAATCCACCTCGGTATTCACCATGACACCTCTTCGATGCGATTCTGGTTTAGTTCAACATAACCTCATATGAGATAGCATCGCTGTTTTTCGATGCTCTTGGTCGCTTTCAAACCCACAGTGTCACCAGCCTCGCGAAGTCACAGGACTCAGACATCCACCGATGAGGGTTTGCAGCACGCCAGGAGTTATCCCTATCTTCTTCGCCCTTCCGAATACTAGCAGCATTTACTCAAAGTACAAACATGGAACTATGCAGCGTCTGCTCGGAACTCGACCTACACCGTCGTTTTCGGAAAGAACAAATTCTTGGACCTTATGACGAACTGCTTCTCAGGTCTTATAGTGTCGGGCCCAGCCGCGGTGGTTGTGGTGGCTGTGCGTTCTTTTGTGCGCTCCTCCGAAACTCAGGTCGCTGGGGTAATCGCATACTGGGATTATCAGGCCGCATTATCATCCTACAAAATCAAGGCTTGGTCGCGCGGGCTTCTTCTGAACCTACAGATATATCTCAGCAACCAGATTCTGATCTACTACTCGGAATTTGTACTGAGGAAGATAGGACAGGTGTGTTGCAATGCGACTCGGAGCGATTCAATCATTGATTTGAGACCATTTAGATATGTCATTATACTACATTATCTCTGGCATGCGACGGGTACCTTCCGACCCGCGTGAAAGCAGCTGTCTCGATTTGATTAGGCAGTGGATAAGCCAGTGTATGAGACATAATGCCTGCTCTCCGCTGGCTCCAGTTGCACTTCCAAAGCGGGTTATCGAAATTCCAGTCAATCCGTCTGTACCACTTAAACTGCGAACATCTAATGGCGCGTCGGGTCAATACGTCATCCTGTCCCACTGTTGGGGTAGCAAAGGACTGGTGACGCTCACAAACGCGGTGTTGTCTCAATACCAAGAAGCTATCAAACTTGAGCTGCTCCCGAAAAGTTTCAAAGACGCGATCGAGATCACGCGGCGGTTAGGTTTTCGATACCTCTGGATAGACGCACTATGTATCATTCAAGACAATACTGAGGACTGGGCCAAGGAAGCGGGGAAAATGGCTTCTTACTATGGGCTGTCGACTCTCATGATCTCCGCAACTGCTGCTAAAGATAGTAGTGAAGGCATCCTGACAGCTCGAAGTGTACTTTACTCACCTATCTTGGGTAGAGAAAAAAGGTATTACCTGTGCCAAAGTCGACTCCTCTCAGACGCCGATATTGATGAATCTGTCTTGGCCACGCGTGGCTGGGCTGCGCAAGAGAGAATGCTGGCACCCCGCATCTTACACTACACGAAACGGCAGATGATTTGGGAATGTGCAGAAGAGTTCCGGTGTGAAGCTTCAGACATCGCGCAATACGGACAATGTTTTAGTCAGGGATATGTTAAGTCATTGTGCCAACAATATATCTCCAAGGCTTTGAGTCAAAAGAACACCGTACTCCACTCCTACTATCACCGCGGGGAGAAGGTGCTGGAACGCAGGTTCAGCGGCGCATTCTTGAATATGAACGACATTTGGGGTCGATGTGTCAGCGATTATTCATTCCGCTCTTTGACAGTGCCAACCGACAAACTCCACGCTATCGCCGGTGTCGCAAGAATGCTGAATCATAGCGGTGAACTCGGAGAGTATCTGGCGGGTATCTGGAGCGCACATCTAGCACCTGGTTTAGGCTGGATCAGAATGCCGAGGGAGCTCTCTTCGCCGCCTTTATATATAGCGCCTAGCTGGAGTTGGGCCGGTGCGGAAGGTGGAGTGAGTTGGGTGACCGACATTCCACAAACATCCACCCATGATACAAAGACGACCTGTGTCAAGAAGTTCAATCCCCACTTAATCGAGCAGCACATGATATTACAGGATGAGCATAATGTCTACGGCGCTGTACTTGAGGGTTCCTACATCACCGTGGAAGGCGCATGTCTTACGCACGCAAATCTTGGTTGGCTTTTGAGAGAGGCGTACGGTACTCATTTCAGTGATTCTGGTCATATCAGGATCGATCTCGATAGGGGTGACCAACTGGACGTGCCTGCGCCCTATGATTGCTGTATGTTCCTTATGGGCGATATATCCTACCATGAAGAAAGGGCCATACTGGTATTCAAGGACAACGACAGGTCTGTGGACTTACTACTGCTCAGCTGGGTTGACAGGGAGGCGAAAGTTGCACAGCGGATTGGGATAGCGCAGATGACAGCGCCGAGGAACATGAATGGAGTGCAGTTTCTGCGTACGTTTGATGCCGCCAGTTGGGAAAGATTGACACTGAAGTTGGTGTAAGATATCCTATGCCAAAGTCTACGAGCTATTTACAATCCAATATTTTCCTCCCACCACATCATCTAGCACTTGAACACAGCCGGTCCAGGACTCGTGTACGTCTTACTTCCAGTGTACAAATTGTACAAAATCCCCGCATCATTCTGCTTATACGCACCGGGAAAAGAAACCGTCGCCGGCGTCTTACTCGCCTCCCCACCCGTAACATTAATCTGCGCACACTCCATATAAAACTGCGCGCCCATGCTCGAACTGGCCGAATGCAGTGCAATCAGTTCACCCCTCAGCAGATACTGTCCCGGCGCAATGCACTTGGGAATCGTAACCGTCTGCACGCCCTGGTTCGCAATCAACCGGTCAACACCCCATTTCGAGCCGTCAAAGGCATCCTCGCTGATCTTGAACCAGCCTCCGCCGATACCTGAATCGGTCTTTGCGTCGCTGACTTTCTTCATGTAGGCCATGACGGGTCCCTTGTGGCTTGAATCGATGACGTCGCTAGGACCGGAAGTCAGGGTGTGGCGCCATGTTAGTTTCGCGGTGCTGCCGGCTTGTAGGGTGATGACGGTGGAGGTTTTCGCGGTGGGGTTTGGGCCGCCGTTGCAGACTATGTCGTTCGAGGAAACGTCGTTTATGGGCTGCGAAAGGGATTAGATGGAGAACAGTGGGCTTTGGAGGAACAAGAGATTTACACCGTCGTATGTGGGGACGCGGACACCGTCTCCTACTGCGCCGCCATTGACACTGAGGAAGATGGTGTGTGCGGATGTTGAGGTAGCTGCTGCAGCGAGAACGAGCGATGTAGAGAGCTTCATTGTAAAGGCTGATTTTGTTCTGGTTGGAGTGCTGGGGTTGAGCTCGATGCTGTGATGTTCATGTCGTCCGTGTTGCTTATAACTAACTTCTCCACGCCACCACCCAAGCCTCGGACTCAAACCCAAGGTTTGCAGATATATTACATGCCCGATGATGTTGCATCTACATTTCCGAATGCGTACAAGTCCAACTTCACTACCCCAGGCGAGCGGAGCATTTCCTTCGTGTCCACCAACTGCATACCGTGCCACGACTTCACACACCCCAACCACGTGCTACCATCCGGCGCTATACTTACCAAAACCCGGATCAGCCAGGCCGCATCGCTGTAATTGCAACGCGATTAGATTAGGCAATGTATTAAGACGTGTCGAATGTTCTTCGAAAGGCTTAAGCGAGCTTGACTTTAGCCAATGGCTTAGCCGTGTGTAAATTGCAGGGTCGAAAAATGCCAAGATACCCGGGGATAGAGTGCCGCCTCATATGAAGAGGCTTGCTCACGTCCTGGTTGACGCATTGCCGCTAGTGTAGAAGTGCCGACCGGATCGCGATGTGCGGGTGTCTGTCGAGATGATAGACCGCATGTGATGCACTCAGAGAAGCGTGATATCCTGAACTTCGATATCCTCCATAGCCATTACTTCCCCCTTCATGATACCATGAACGTATGCTTCGCCCAAAAGCTCGAACTTCTTGCCATCCCCTTCAACTTGCATCTGCCTTATCACAAAAGGTACACATGCTCGATCGAATACAGCGACCTTATCACCGACTTGCACACCTCTCGGCACTAGCGCAAAGTAGCCCTTCTCGGTTACAGCAAATCGCCGCATCTCTAAGGCGGCCCGGAGCGCCGTATTCAAGTCTTCCAAGATCTTGGCTGGCTTCCTCGTCTTGAGACTGTCGAGGTTGAAGTAGCCTTTCTGCCGCCGGATGCTCATAGTCTGGCCGGGAAGGGAGAGAGATTTTCCTGTCGTGGCATCGAGAATTAAGCCAAAGACCTCGCTGTGATCCGCGGAGGGAGCTAAGACGCCTGTGCCATCGCGTCCTGCCAGTAGTGTGTGTAGAAAGGCCTCGTAGGTTGAAGTGCCTAGTAGGAGGTAGGTCTGTGTTCGACCTGCACCCATGACCAGCTCCGTGTAGGATCTCAAATCACTGTTGCTCAGCGGCGGATTGGTGATATCAAGGAAAGGGTCGTTGCTAACATTGCCTATGATGGCAATTGTATCGACGACCTTACCACAGAGCGTGATCTCGCGTTTGTCATCGCTCAAGACCACTTTGGGTAGCTGCGCGCCTGTGACGGGTCTACCGCCCGCACAATATAGAGCCCAAGACTTTGTCAAGTAGCCCAGGGCTTTTGTCACACGAGGTGCGCTCCAATCTGGTACCCATGATGGCCGAAGCGGCTCCTCGTGGTCGACGCAGCTCAGCAGCTCGTATATACGCAGCGGAATCTCCGTCAGGCAGGCATTGTGGTATACCTCTCTGGTGGATCCATTATAATCCGGTACGACGGTCGAATCTGCTATACCCAGTACGCCGTAAATCTTGTCTTTCGGCTCGGTCGCCTGAGCATACCGCGTAGACTCCAGGATAGTCAGTAAGGCTTCTTTTTGGACAAGTGTCAAGCCGTGCAGGCGATCAGCTTGTATCGAATTGACTACCGTCGCCCCTTGTGGTGGCAGCGTCCAAGCATTAGTGACCTCGCCGTATTTCTCCTTCAGCACAACATCTGCTGTTAGCCAGCTGAGAATGTGGGTTTCTCTCAAGTCGTAACACCACGCTGCAAAGTCATCCCAGCAGACCTCTGCCTTGCCGCATTTTACAAACAGGTTTCTTGAAAGAACAGCTTCTTGAATGGTCCACAGCCTGCCAAACCAGGGTCGCCGGAGGAATTGGCGGACTGCCCACCATGCTCGGTCATCGCTGGGCGGAAAGTCCAGCCTCGAAAATTCGGCGGGCGTTACTTGCGCATCGGTCCCTTGCAGACGCACGTAGACGGTTTCCATCAAGTCTAATGCGAGGGCCGGGTCCTCTCCGTTTTCGTCGCCGAGCCATATAAGGGTTTCCGTCGCATGTGTGTATATCATCCCCATGAGTGGGATCTGTTGCACCTTCTCTGCCTTGTCTTCCTGGTTGATGCAGATCTGGTCCGCCCACATGACCACACTATGCTGAGTGGAGCGCATGTGTTCCAAGGCCCCTGCGAGGGTTGCTGTAATCTTCAACTCACCATGCTCGAACGCTACTGTGTGGTCAAAGACGGGTGCGCCCCAGACATAGCTCAGTGCGGTAAACCACACGGGTCCCCCTGTAACAAGCGAAACGGCATGGTTGGTATGCCTCGTGAAGGTCAAGGTTCTCCTGCTCGTGTTTGCTGGATTGTCGAAAGGCTGAGTATACTGCTCCTCTCTTGCAGGATGCGAGAAGTCGATGCTAACTGTGTGTAGAGCTCCTTTAAGTGAACTCCCGGGTTCTCCTGCATATAACTCCAAGACGCGTATTTCGCCGTCTATGAGCGGTTGATAAAGCTTCGACGGGGGCACATTAGGTCGCTCGCCCCCCTGAGACCTCTTCTCCGCCACAAAATCTCTGACATGCGTTTGTGCAATCTCATCTAGCCGGCCGTCAACACCGGCGGGGCCTTCGAGCGTAGCGGGCTGGAATACAGCCGTCTTGGAGAGAGCAGAGTAGAAGCAGTTGCAGTCATCTGACACATCACGAGTTAGTAAGCGATACCGGCGTACTGAGCTGGGCGGAAGCACTGCACCTTGCGCATTCGTTGCGCATGGACAAGTCGAAGCATGCTCGATATGTGAATAGGACTTTTTATAACTAGCCATATTGTTGTAGTGGTGATGCTGGAACTGAGGTGGGAAGTGAGGTCGCAGTTTCAGCAGGTACGACAGTCGGGCCTAGGCCCGACTCGGAGTGGGGGCCATTATGAATAGGCAGGAGCTGGCGACAACAAATGTTTGGGAATGGTTTATACATTACTTCGCTGTCGTTAACAACACCCGATACGGCTGCTTCAGTCCGCAAGTCCAAGAAACTGAGTGATGCCGTGACCCGGGGCCTGCCCGCCCTTGTTCTTCTTTCTCTTCTTGCGCTTCTGCTTTGGCTCGTCCTCTTCGCTGCTATCATCCATATCCTCGTCGCTATCACCATCATCCTCGCTCTCGTGGTCTCGCTTGCCATTGTCAGATTCCTCCTCGTCTTCATCAACGTCCTGCCAGGTTTTCTCTCCCCACACCTTGACGGTCTTTCCACCGCTGCTTATCATGCGACCAGTGACGTCGAAACCGAGACCAATGACGCTCTCCTTGGCCAGCTCATCATGCTTGAGCTCCGAGACAATCTTATTCGGGCCGAGCTTAGCAAAACGAATGTCTCCGTTGCCCAAGCCTACTGCAATGTGCTTGCCGCCAGGTCCAACACCGTCTGGTACGACAGTGATGGAATCCAGACTCTCGCCGCCTCCCTTGGAGCGGTCGACGATGATGCGCTCGTCTTGGTCGTCCCATACTCCGCGCTCCCACAGTGTGAGAACACCGTCGCCTGCACCTACTATGACCTTCTCACCTACACTCGAGCCCTTCTTTGGTAGCCCGGTGACAATGGTGGAACAAAGCAGCTCCTCCTCTTGGTCCTCACTGCGAACCATGACTCCTCTCCGCAGATCGGTGACTGCCAGTGTGCTGCCACCTGTTGTGACCCATTGCTTGCTGAAGCCACTGGTACTCGCTTGCGTGGGTGGTAGAGGTGTGAGGGAGGAGACGTAGTCATCGTGCGGACGGTGTGAGTTTTCGGGCTTCAGGGAGACCTTTTCGCCACCCTTGAGGTTCCTAATGTCGTAGATGTGCAGTGCGCCGGAGTCGGTTGTGAGGATGAGCGATTGCGGAGAAAGGGCGTAGACGAGCGTAGGCGCATCGATGCCACCATTGGCGCTGCGAAGTGTCAATGAAGCTCACGTGATTCTTGCAATGTCACTACTCACGGATCGAGCGGTACAGCAATCTTCGCAGTGACCTGGCCGGTCATGGAGTCTGCGACCTTGACGATGCCATCTGTTCCTGCCGAGTACAGCGACGTACCATCAACGCTGTATCCGAGTGTTCGACAGCTTCCCTTGTGTCGCCGTGTGCGCCAGACATTGTCTATGGTACCAAAGCCTTTCTCCGAGGCTGGCGCCGTATCATCGTCGTCGTCGTCGTCGGTCGCGTCAGAAGGCAGCCTGAAAGTCTGGACATGGCCGCTAGCCAAGCCTACAGATATAACGGGCTCTTCTGGATGTATCGCTTGCACAAAAATATCGTGCTCCACTGGGAGCGCGCACAAGTTCTCGAACATCTTTGAGCTAAGGATGCTGTGCAGTTGAGAATGCTCTTCGCGACAGCTTCAACATTTTTTGTGGAGCCGCGGCTGGGGCCAGGGCAGCTGCAGCCGATGGCCTTGGCAGGTACTTCTTGCACGTGGGCGACCTTTCACTTTCAACACCGACATCGCGGCAGTCTCGGTCCTGATATCTTGACTGCATGTGCACTATACATGCTCACTCAAGCCTTTTGGGTTGACCGTGTCCGACAGCGAGATGCCATCTCTTGTCGCAATCTAACATAAGCACCGAAGTGGTCGGATACCACATATTCAATTTCCCATTGTACTTCTTCGAGATCAAGCTCCTCCATATGGCTTCCATGGATGTCAGAAGCAGCTTCACTTTTTCCAGTCAATTCGTTCCCCAAGTGGTTTGACAGCACCGGAAACCGGGTTCGTGGACCACAAGTCCTCCATGTGCAGCATCGTGAGCACGTCGAATGAGTTTTTCCTCCCAATCACGGCCATACCATACACCACGCTTCGTCTCCACCACGCTTTTGATCTTCATCGGCCCATCGCAAGACGTCCTTGGCCACCGACGCGACAGGAAGGTCGACTTCCTTCCTCATGCGCCAAACCCCGTCAGGCAATGCTGCCGAATCACGTTTGCTAATGATTGGTTACCAGCAATATGAACGGCTCTTCCCCATGTTCACCGTTGTACAGCCGGCACAAAGACATCCGACAACACGCATGTCTTAAATAAACGCCATGAACCAATGTTCTCCCACTTGGCAAGCGTTGGATTCCCTTGCAATAATCTAATACTTAATCTGCCCAACATGCTTGCGCCATCGCTTCTCTACGGTCTTCTGGCCGCGGCCTCTTCGGTCAACGCGTATCATCATGCGAAAACTATCAACTACACTGTCGTGACCGGTATCTTCCAACAAGACGACAACACCACCGACCCTTCGACCTTCGACTTCCTGAGCAGCAACTTTGGTCTAATTAACCGAACCTACCCAAGCGACTCTTCCTACCCAGATCGCAAGCACGCAACCCAATGGCAGCGTCTCGTCCACTACCTCTCCACCCTGAACAAGAAGGCACCGCGCAATGAACGCTACACCCTCTTCTTCATGGGCCGCCACGGTGAAGGCTTCCATAACGCCGCTGAGTCCTACTTTGGCACCCCGGCGTGGAACTGCTACTGGTCCGAGTTGGACGGCAACAGCACCGTCACGTGGGCTGATGCGCAGCTTACAGAACCCGGTATCGAGCAAGCCAAAGTCGTAAATACCTTCTGGAAACATCTCATCAAGGACGAAAAGATATCTCCGCCCGAGACTTTCTATACGAGTCCTTTGCACCGCTGTCTCGACACTGCTAAGCTTAACTTTGAGGGTGTGCCTCTTCCGCGCAAGAACCCCTTTGTGCCTGTCGTCAAGGAGTTTCTGAGAGAGGGTATCAGTGCGCATACTTGCGATCGCCGTCATAGCAAGTCTTACATCAAGAAGAACTTCCCCGGCTTCAAGTTCGAGAAGGGGTTTGCCGAGGAAGACCCATACTGGACTGAGCTTTTCGCGGAGCCGCGCGCAAACCAGGATGCGAGGTCCAAGGCTGTGCTTGACGATATCATCAGCAATGATGATAGCACGTACATCTCCATTACTTCGCACTCTGGTGAAATTGGAAGTCTGCTACGGGGTAAGCTTCCTCTTCCTTAGTTTGGTGATAACTCTGTTTACTAATAACGACGTAGTTCTCGGTCACCGTGAGTTCCGTCTTGCGACTGGAGCTGCTATCCCGGTTCTGGTCAAGGCAACGACAATCAATGCTCCAGCGCCGCCTACAACTACGCTTCCTTACACACCTCAGAAGACGTGTGCTCTGCCGCCTACTATCCGTGACTCGAGCTGCAATGACTGCTCGTGCTGTACGTGAACGGGCGTTATTCGCGCAGGAAGTAGAAGTTCTGTATATACTTGAAATCAGATATGAAATGTGATCTATGCTATGTGATTTACCTACTCGCTTCGACCACGTGGGAGCTGTGGTCCAGAGCTGTCTCTCCGAGTCTTGATTACATTCAATCTCGCTTGCCAGTCGTCTCGCCACCTCGGCTATCTCATCACGCTGTCTGTCCATCTTCACTCGTAGAGGCCCAGGACATCCATGCTATTCACCACATTCTCCATCACCGACAAGGGCAACACGTCGACATGTCCAGGATCCCGGAGCCATCTTAACCCTTATGATCGGCCTCCGATCCTGCTAACCTCGAACATGTCATCAAGCTAAGATGCACGCCAGCCACATGTCGCAGGCACCTATCTCCACAAAAAACCCAGATGCTTCCAAATCACCAGCCCCATATATAGATGGACCGCGGTTCCCAGACATCTGTCATCTGAAACCCATGGTCATGTACGTCGTAAATCTCCCCCACCGCCACCGCGCGGCGAAAAAGGCTGGAAGAAGACCGGAGCAACGCTAGCTCACTGCCGCTCAGTCAGGAATCGGGTTTAACCTAGCGTACCAAACGGACCTTCTGGCCGGGAGTTGGAATTGTGTAGCGGGAAGGAAGGGAAAGGCCTGGCTTGAGCGTTGGGTCTGGTGCAGAGCGGGCGATGCTAGCGTACCAAGATCGCGATCAAAATCGGGCCTTTTGCGCCCCGAGTCTGCGTCGTCTGAATACGATTGGCGGAAGTATGTATGTATGGGATCGGAGGAAGAACTAATATGCACGGGTGGTGGTAGAGGGAGAAACGTTAAACGATGTCGGTTCCCAAGCGAAACGAGGATGCTAGGTGGTATGCAGACTAGATGACGGGACGGCGGTGGTTGAGTGGTGATGGGAGCGGATAGCGTACCAGGTCAAAACAGCGCACTAAATCTCCCTTTCATCAACATGACGGAGCTATTCGACGACATCACTAATCGGTCAAATCCGTTGGTGTGTCGTGGTGCGAAAAGAAGGTTTGCATGGTCGGTTGTTGGTACGGTAGCCTCAACGGTTGATCGCTCGATTGGTGCAAGGATGTAGTCGTCGATCTAGCGTTTGTGTAGAGCATAGGTGCGACGTTGACCGGTCGGTGGTGTTCGGCGGGTTCTCTTGGCTGGAATTATCAGATGTTGGGGCTGGTGGTTTGGACGTTGATGATCGCGAAGCGATTACAGTTGTGAAAGGGGTAGTTGAGATGATCGTAAAGGCAGGTGCAATGGGTGCTAGCTAGCTTACGTTTACTTGTGTGTCGTTCTGAAGTCTTGCGAGACTGCGGCAGTTTGTTGTTCGCGTTCGCATACAATGCTTTTTAAGGTTGCGGCATCCTAGTGTCTGGTGTCACTGAGATGTCATCGCGGGGACTCGGAATAGCACACACCAAGGTACTCGCCCGGACGGCAGTCGAAATCTAGCAAGTTACTGGCTTGTCCATAATCATCTGTCACATCATGCCTTCGAGTATGCTAGGATCTTTACATTGTTCATTAGGTAGAATATGCTCATGTATACAGGGGTATAAAAAACTGTCATGTCGCTTTTGTAATGTACAAGGATGGGGTATAACATAAATGGTGGTGATCATGCACCCGTGTTTCGCGCCTTGATGCTGATAAATTCCAAGGTCAACCAAGCGAGTCAAGTATAGCTTGCGACTCAAGCCGCTGTGGGGCGGATGGATTCCAGATTGTTTGCGATTACCGAGACGAGTCTTCGGTGTCCTTTTTCGGCTCTGGATGAACCGTGTGTCTTGTAGCCTAGGTCTTGCTTCTTTCGCAGATCCAAAGCCATGGCGCTAGTGACGGTCATGTTCGTTCGCAGTTACAAGGGCAAGCGAACATGTGGGGGATCGCATCACTTTCGATATGCGAGAATGGTGTCGGTGTTGCTTCCTTGAGAGACCTTCTGTCTATGCGGCAATCTTGATCAAAGCTGAAACGCAACGACGTAATGTCCGTCTTTCAGGATCAGGGGCAACCCCAGGCGGCTTCGTTGAGATGATTTGAGGAAAGTGATTGTGGGTAGATTGCTGAAATTCATCATCGGTATGGTGCAGACAGAACCGATCCCCTCTCTTCATCCGTAATGTAGAATGACTTTGACACCAAGATGCCGTTCTGAAAATTATCCTCCTCACTGCTCCTTGAGCTCTTGATCCTCAAACTCCTCTGACTATCGTTGTCTGAATTGTCGACGCGCGTGCTCTTCTTTGAATTGGGAGGAGCGCCGGTGCCACCGAACCAGTTAGGCGATTTCGGGAAAGATCCATCTCGCGTTATTTCGTCGTCGGAAGTGCGTGTTTGCACAGTGGCTGAGAGTTTGTACATGTCGGGCCGGAGTTTGTCGGCTTTGGAAGCCGGGGCGGCGTTACCGGGTAAAGGGGCAGACATGCCGTATGCGGAAGGTCGATATGCGCCAGATGGGCGCGTCGAGAGTCCAAGTTTGTGCATGGCAATGAAGAAGAGTGGGCGGAGAGTCGCAAGGCTACCAGCTGTGATAGCAAGGCCTTGTTCAACCGATGACCAGATAGCGATATCAGTCGTCGACCCTAGTAGAGTTAGTACTTGGTAACGACAGTAGTTAAGGAGGGACATACACAGGAAGTCAGGTGCGTTGAAGTAGTGGATGAATGGCAATCGCGCGATGACCGCCGCACTCGCAATGCAGCCCATGGTGATCAAAGGAATCAAAGCGACCTTAGTCCTCCTCTTCAACTGCAAATGCCATACCAGAAAGCCAGGAATAATCGCGAAGGTGAAGTCGGTGATGATGCTGAACACGCTGTAGACATAGCCAAGCGCGGAGATGACAGTGTTGTCAACGCACTTTCCTTGTTGCGACGTGCGATCCCACATGTAAGAAACCGGGTAACACTGGAATAGACAAACGAAGAAAAAGGCGCCTCCAGCGATGACCGAGACACACATTGCACTCCAGATGATCCTGATATTCTTAGTGCGTGTCGCAAACATGACTTGCATGTGGATTTACTCACCATGTATGGATTTTACGAATACTGATCCGT